CAGAGAGATTTATCATAGCTATTAGGTTACAAGTCAGGCTGAGACATGAGTTCGACTGTGATAGAGATAAAGAACTATGGGGGAGAGGCACTAGCAGTTAGTACTGACTGGGGACCTGGGAAAAGACTTCACAAAAAGGAGACATTTAGGTTGGGCATTCAAATAGAATTCATTGGGCATAGTTTGGTGTTAAGTGCATAGAGAAGTAGAAAAAACAGGTGTGACAGATTAGGAAATTGACTCAGCTTGTGACTGGAGCTAAGGTGCTTGACTAAAGCCGAGTGGCAAAGGGCCTCTTTACTAAACATTTTCATTTTATTCTCTTGAAAATGGGTAGCAAAGGTGTTTTAGGTGGTAAGCATGATTAAATGTGTGACAGAGAGATAACTCTAAATTTGAACAGTAGTCCCAATGGGAGATAATAAGGACATGTCCTGACATAGGGCAATAATAGCAGTGTGAATGCAAATGAGGAGGTACAGATTGATTAAATCATTGAGGATATGAAAAGAAAACTTGGAGATAAAACATTAAGTGTTTTTACCTGCAATGTTTTGCTAGGGAGTCCAAACTTCAAAGAGTTGAATTTTGAATGAAATACATATCAGGTATTTAAGGCGGAAAAACACAAGGTTACTTAGGCAGTCTGTTCATGACGGGAAAAACTATAATTTCCTTTCATTATTATTATATCTACAATGGCTATCATATATTAATATATATTATATACACTATAATATATATTATAATTTATATATACTAATAATATATGATAATATATATCATATATATTATTTCAAAAGTCGGGGATTAAGTTGTCCTCATTGGGGATAAGCAATTTAAAGGAAATAGCAAATCTTCATTTATTTTGGGTTTTTTTGTTTTGTTTTAAATATTTCTTTATTTATTTGGCTGCACTGGGTCTTAGTTGCAGCACGCAGGATCTTTATTGCCACGTGTGGGGTCTTTAGTTGTGGCGGACTCTTAGTTGCAGCATGGGGATCTAGTTCCCTGACCAGGGATCGAACCTGGGCCCCCTGCATTGGGAGCGCGGAGTCTTAACCTTTGGACCACCAGGGAAGTCCCCTTCATTTATTTTGGAGGCTAGTGTTAGACCCATTATTTCTGCTCTCAAAATTTTATCTCAGTGGAATCTAGGGTACAAGATGTTTATTAGAGATCAATATCGAAAGGAAGGGGAGGAAGGAGAGTTGAGCAGAGGGACAGCTCTAGAGCAAGGACTGCCCCTGGACCCCATTTGGTCACTGCATATGGACTGCCTCTGGAAGGGCATGACACCAGGAGGTAATTCTCTGTAGCTGAGACACACTCTGAAGAGTAAATCAAGTCCTCCTTGAAAGGGATCTGGGTAGTGCATCTCTGTTTCTACCTCAGATGGGTTACAAGGTTTTTGGCCAAATGTGTGAAGCAGGGCCTCATCCATATAAGATTACTGGTAATTGAAGTAGCCAACTATTAGTTCTTTGCCACAAGCATCAGCATTATAAGCCATTTCTCTGTCATTAAAAATATAAAACAATTTTCAGTGGTAAAAAGATAATGAATTATGGTCCTATCACATTGGTTATATGGGTATAAAAACCTGGGCTGGACAACAATGTCATAAATACATTTGCTTTTGGAATTAAGTGTTGGATATATTTTACATCTGAAGAAAAAGAAGAAAATAAATTGAAGTATAAGACAAGAAAAAAATTATCTCAGAATGCAAATTGTTTCTTTTTCCTGATTTTTCCTGAAAATAAATTGAAGTATAAGACAAGAAAAAAATTATCTCAGAATGCAAATTGTTTCTTTTTCCTGATTTTTCCTGATTTTTCCATGACATGCTTAGTCATAATGTAGCAGAGCAAGGTGTCGGTTTATCTTTTTCAGGAGTGAGCCTATATCTTGAATATGACACCAAAAGTGTAACAACCAAAGAAAAAATAGATGAGTCACACTTTATAAAAATTTAAAACTTTTGTGTTTCAAAGGACACTATCAAGAAAGTTAAAAAAGCTGGGGAATTCCCTGGCAGTCCAGTGGTTAGGACTTCATGCTTCCACTGGAGGGAGCATGGGTTCCATCCCTGGTTGGGGAACTTACAAGATCCCTCATGCCGCGAGGTGTGGCCAAAATAATAATAATAATAATAAATTAATTAAAAAAACAAAGAAAGTAATAAAGTAACCCACAGAATGGGAGGCAATATTTGCAAATCATATATCTGACAAGGGTCTAGTATCCATTCTATACAAAAAACTCTTACAAATCAATAACAAAAAGACAAACAACCCAATTAGAAAATGGGCAAAAGATTGAATAGACATTTCTCTAAAGAAGTTATGCAACTAGCCAACAAGCACATGAAAGATATTCAACATCACTAGCCATCAGGGAAATGCAAATCAAAACCACAAGGAAGATACCATTTCACACCCACTAGGATGGCTAGAATCAAAAGGACAGATAACAAGTGACAGCAAAGATGTGGAAAAATTGGAACCCTCATACATTTCTGGTGGGAAAGGAAAATGGTATAGCTTCTTTGGAAAACAATTTAGAAGTTCCTCAAAAAGTTAGAGTTACCATTTGACCCAGCAATTCCACTCCTAGATGTATACCCAAGAGAAATGAAAACATATGTCCACACAAAGACTTGTACAGGAATGAAATCAGCATTATCCATAATAGCCGAAAAGTCTATCAACTGATGAATGGAGAAACAAAATAATGGCATATCCATATAAGGCATATTTTTCAGCCTAAAAATGATTGAAGTACTGATACATGCTACAATATTTATCTTGAAAGCATCATGCTACTTGACAGAAACCAGATACAAAAGGTCAAACATATTATTCCATCTACATGAAATGTCCAGAATAAGCAAATCCTATTTGATGTTTGCTAGGGCCTGGTGGGGAGGAGAGAATTGAGAGTGACAGTTAATTTGGTTTGTTTTGGGGTGATGAAAGTGAAGGTGGTGATGGTTGTACAACTTTGTGAATACAGTAAAAATCACTGAATTGTATTCTGTAAAAGGGTGACTTACATGGCATGTACATTATACCTCAATTAAAATAAAGATTCCCCCCACCAAAAAAAGTGATTCTATAAAATTTGATAATTGATTGACATTTGAGATGAGAGAGAGAACATCAAAGAACAAGTTTCTATCTTGAGGGATTGGGTGAATAGGAATGCCAGTATTAAGACGAGGGTTAGGGATGGAGGTGAGGACCATCAGCAGAAGTAGGCCTGGAAGTGAAGATTATGAGTTCGATTTAGAAAATAATTGGGAATTCTCTGGTGGTCCAGTGGTTAGGACTCAGCACTTTCACTGCTGGGCCCAGATTCAGTCTCTGGTCGGGGAATTAAAATCCCACACACACAAAAAAAGAAAATACTGACTTTTTAGTTGTCTATAGGGCACACTTTGGGGGGCAGTTCAAAAAACTTAAGTCTGGACATGAAACGACAGATCAGAGTTAAGAGATTTAGATTTAAGGTCAACCAGATTTGGGAGATAGCTGACACCAAAGAGAAGGTATGATAGCATCCAGCAAAGAGTTTGGACCTTGGGGGATTTGTTTGAACCAAGAGGTAGGTTGAAAGAAAAAGAACCTGTGAATCTAAAAAAGAGCATTAGCAGGGTAGAACAAAAACCAGGATGGAGCTGGGTCTTGGACACCTGGGAAGTTTGTGTTGTTCTGTAGGAAAGGGTTAAGAGGAGCCTTGAACCCAAAGTCACAGCTTACTAACCATTCTAATTTTCTACTAAGAATCAGGTTAAAATCAGCAATTTCTGCTTCACCTTGGTTTTTTTTTTTCCTGTGTTGCTACTGCAAAGGAACCACAGAACATAAACTTTGACAGCTTATGTCACTTTGAGAAATACAGTTCTGTCAAGTACAAGGGTGGAAGAACATCTTGTATTGAAGTAGTAGGACATTTCATTCCCAAAAGGCAACTCAGAAATAAGAAGCATTTTAGAGCTCCAAATGGACTAAAGGGCTGGATTTTCGAAAGGCTGGCTTTATTCTCACTCTGTATTCTCAGTTGCCCTGCCTTATAGTAGCTTTCTGTTGCCAGAGCCTAAACATGGGAACTAGCAGAAGAGCACACTGTTTGACTAAGGCCCAGACTTTGGAAACTATCTTAATTCTTATCCAATCCTACTAGAGAAAAAAACCTCCCTAAACAGAAACCTCTTATTTTCATCCATGGGTCCCCCAGAAGACCCCAAATCCCAGAATTCTGCAATTAATAAGTATTGATCAAGGATATGCAAAAACTTTTGTACAAGTGTTACAATCTAATAGAAATCCTAACAAACTCTTTTTGAGGTGGCCAGGATAGGATACAGTTTTTGTTTGTTTTTCCTTTCTATTTTTAAAGTTGTTTCTCTAATGGTAGGCAAAAATACTGGGAAACCTAAGGATTTGGCATTCGTTTCTATGAAATAGGTCCTGATTAGTCTTTTTCTTTGAACAAATGAGGAAATCAAGGCAGAAAGAAGCTGGTTTGAAATGATGAAGCTGATTTAAAATGACAAATCATTGCAGACTGTTGATTAAAGCCCTGGAGATGCCTGATGTCAGGAGTCTATTTCCAGCCATCTCCCCCTGTAGCTGGAGATTGTTGAATTGGTGTCAAAGTTTATTATATATTCACTTCAGAAGTATGTAAAATATTTGCCTTCTTCTTAATTTCTCTTGAGCATTTCATAATTTATGAAGCCATTTCATATCCATTGTCTTGTTTTAACCTCACCTCAACTCTAAGAGATAGGAAATTTAGATTTTATCATCACTGTTTTACAAGTGGAGAGATTGAGAGAGGTTAAGCAGTTTGTCCAAGTTCACGTGGTCTCCAAGTAGTGGCACCAGGACTAACTCTCAATCTTGTGACTTCTCTTCTAGTATCTTTCCATATGACATGTTGCCTTTAAAGTCTGGTCAGTGCTTCATTGTATGCCTTTTCTTTTGACACAGGCTCAAACAAAGGACTTTTTATTCCCTTCCCAAACTGGGAAATAAAGGATTCCCCAACAAGTACTTCTGTAACCCAGGACAATGGTATACCAGATCAGAAATTAGACACTTTGCCACTGGGGACACAGGTAATGTACTCACTTTCCTGCTGATCTGTTGACTAATCAATGATTAATGCTAATAATCCAGTGGACTCTCAATTATTGTGAAGGTCTAAAAGGACTTTTTAAAATTAATTTTTATTGGAGTGTAGTTGATTTACAATGTTGTGTTAGTTTCTGCTGTACAGCAAAGTGAATCAGTTATACATATACATATATCCACTCTTTTTTAGATTCTTTTCCTGATAGGTCATTACAGAGCATTGAGTAGAGTTCCCTGTGCTATACAGCAGGTTCTTATTAGTTATCTGTTTTATGTATAGTAGTGTGTATATGTCAATCCCAATCTCCCAATTTATCCCTCTCCCCTTCCCCCTTGGTAACCATTAAGTTTGTTTTCTACATCTGTGACTCTAGTTCTGTTTTGTAAATAAGTTCATTTGTATCATTTTTTAAGACTCCACATATAAGCTATATATGATATTGTCTTTCTCTGTCTGACTTAAGAGGACTTTTTTGATGAAGGCATGTTAGACACTTTAAAAGGAAAGCACAAGACAGGATGCAAAGGGCCTTCTCCATTAATTTCAATCTCCCCTTTCCCTCTCCCCCAGTACCTGATCAGATGTAGTATATTTTTTTTTTTTTTGGTGGGATCTTCCCGGACCGGGGCACGAACCCGTGTCCCCTGCATCAGCAGAGATGTAGTATATTTATACATATAACTTTAGCACATTTTATGCCAGGCATTTTGGCACTCAAACAGGGATACAACTGTTACAGGTTTTGTCTGGTTTTCAGTTTTCTCCTCTCTACCCAATGTCTCCATTTCCTGTTGCCTGGCTTCTTTACATTTTCTACCTCTGCCTTTTAATTACTGGATCTTAACATCTCAGGGGTGGCTCTCCCAACACTGCCTCTTCATTGAAGCACAAAAAAAAGAAAAGTTAAGCAGTAAAGATGGCATAGAAGTTGTGGGCAATGAACAGGAAGAGATCATACAAGATGAGGGAAGAATTAAAAATAAGTTTTTAGAGAAAAAAATTGGTGGGAGTCCATTACTTATTTATATGAATGAATATGATGCAGGAGGCAGAATTGACCACTTCAACTTCTCCTTTTGTCTATATTTTTATTGATAAATTATGAGCAATAAGTTTGCTGAAAATAGCCAGAAGGAGAAAGAAGAGAAGGAAAGACTCATTAATCTACAGTTTGGATAATCAACACTGTACAAAGAAAAAGATAGTAAGATTTCAGGTTGAATTTATAATACCTTCATTTTATAAAAAGACAGATTAACATTTAGTTGGTTTCTTTGTTTTTGGAGATTCTACTTGGGTAATTTAGAAACTATTTCAATTACCATTTTTTTAAAAATTTGGTATTCTTTTAAATGAAATGGAGACAAAATATACTATAATCTACAGTTAACATTAAATAGCACTTTTTAGATTAAAAACTTTGAAATTACTTCTTGAAGTGCGAGAGAAGAAGAAATTGAATAGCCTACTCTATGTCCTCTTAGTTTAAGAAATAGGAAGTAAGATTACTTTCTCTGCATAACTACCAAAAAGATGCTGAATACTTGAAGATGATTTTGTAAAAAGCAAACTCTAGAAAGCTTTCTACTTTGTATCAATCCTTGCTTAATTATGCCTTAGATTAATTTTCAGCCTATTAAAAAGTCTCAGTAGCTCCCATGGTTGATACTCAGCTTTACTAGAGGTAAAGTAAGTATGGGAGTTCTTCAAGCAGAAATAAGTTGGAAAAGGTGGTACCATCTAACTTCTATGCTGAGTTATCTAAAGCAGAGAAAATACAATATTTCACTGTTTGGTATGTCCTTTACCATCTAAGGATATTTTGTCTTTTCAAGGCATCTCCTTATCTGCTCCAGAGCAACTCTAGAATCTCTTTGTATTGTGACTGTTTTAAAATAAGCTTAAATCTGGACCTTTGCTTGAAGATCTTTTTCCCTAGTTTGCAAGGATGGACTTGCTTACTAATAGGAAAGTATTCTGAACCTCCCTGTTCTAGTTAAACTCATGTCTGAATGCCCATTGACTCCCTTCTCCTAAACTTTCAAACTTTTTTTTAGATGCAGGAAGTGGCAAGAAAGGAGATACCAAGTGAGAATCACCAGGAAGATGGTAAATATTTTGCTTACAGTATTTTTCTCCACACTAGTCGGAGAAATCTAGGTGTGATGGGATTTGGGAGAAGATGGAGATGTCTCAGTCCTGGGAGACTACGTGATGAATTCTCTTCTGCTTTCGTAAGGGGCTGCCCTGGATGCTTAGTGACCTGTGAGGTCTTTCAGGTTGAAGAGTGGATATTCTGACTTCCTTTGTTCTTGACTTTTTGTATTGGCTGACTATTCCTTGTTTCTTTTACCTTTCTTGCCTTCTTTTGGATTTATTATGTTTTTTGTTTTTGTTTTTGTTTTTTTTGTGGTACGCGGGCCTCTCACTGTTGTGGCCTCTCCCATTGTGGAGCACAGGCTCCGGACACGCAGGATCAGCGGCCATGGCTCACGGGCCCAGCCGCTCCGCGGCAGGTGGGATCTTCCCGGACCGGGTCACGAACCCACGTCCCCTGCATCGGCAGGCGGACTCTCAACCACTGCGCCACCAGGGAAGCCCTATTATGTTTTTATTCATCCATTTTTTTCTTTCTGCTAGTTTACAAGTTACACACTGTTTCTATGCTTTTGGTATTATTCCCAAAACTATAATATGTGTCCTTAACTTATTCAACTTTAAAATTAATCAATACTTTAACTCTTCTCTTGTGTAATTCAAAGACCTTAAAGTAATTTACTCCTTTTAATCCCTCCTGATTTATGTATTATTATTATAGATTTTAATTCTCTATATTTTTAAAATTCACAAGATACTATTTTTATAAAGTCATTGTTCATTTAAATTTATCCATGTATTTACCACTTTGCTCTTTTTTTTTATTTTAATTTTTTGGCCGCACCACGCGGCATGTGGGATCTTTGTTCCCTGACCAAGGATCAAACCCGCACCCCCTGTATTGGAAGCATGGATTCTAAACCACTGGACTGCCAGGGCAGTCCCTTTACATCTCTTTTTTTTAAATCCCAGACTTCACTTCTGAGATGGTTTTCCTCTAGCTTATAGTACATCTTTTAGAATTTTCTTTAGTGTGGATCTACTCGTGATGAATTCTTTCAGTTTTTGTCTGAAAATGCCCCAATTTCACTATCATTCTTAAAGGGTATTTTGGCTGGGTATAAGTTTCTTTCTTTTTTTTTTTTTTTATTACTTTTGACTGTGTTGGGTCTTTGTTTCTGTGCGAGGGCTTTCTCTAGTTGCAGCGAGCGGGGACCACTCTTCATCACAGTGCGTGGGCCTCTCACTATCGCGGCCTCTCTTGTTGCGGAGCACAGGCTCCAGACGCGCAGGCTCAGTAGTTGTGGCTCATGGGCCTAGTTGCTCCGCGGCATGTAGGATCTTCCCAGACCAGGGCTCGAACCCATGTCCCCTGCATTGGCAAGCAGATTCTCAACCACTGCGCCACCAGGGAAGCCCTGGGTATAAGTTTCTATGTTGGCAGTTATTTCTTTCAAAATATTGAAGGTATTCCACTGTATTCTATCTTTTGTAGTTGCTTTTGAGAAGTCAGCTAGAACAGGGGTCCCCCCCACCCCCATCCCTGGGCCTGCACAGCAGGAGGTGAGCGACGGGAGAGCGAGCGAAGCTTCATCTACCGCTCCCCATCGCTCCCCATTGCTTGCATTACCAGCTGAACCATCGCTTGCATCACTGGCTGAACCATCACTTGCATCACCACCTGAAACACCCCCACGCCCCCGACCAGGTCCATGGAAAAATTGTCTCCCACGAAAACCGGTCCCTGGTGCCAAAAAGGTTGGGGACCACTGAGCTAGAAATTTGTCACTCCTGCAAGGATAATCTGTCTTATTTTTCCTCTGACTGCTTTTAAGATTTTCCAATTGTCTTTGATTTTCTGCATTTCACTATGGTGTGTGGACTTCTTTTTGTTTATCCTGTTTGGTATTTATTACACTTGAATTTGTGAATTCTGTCTCATTTCTGTAAAGTGCTTCAAAAATTATTTATGTCCCATTTTTTCTATCTTGTCCTTCTGGGACTCTTGATTAAGTAAATGTATGTCCTCTTTCACTTTGTCCTCTTTGTCTCTTACTCTTTTATATTTTTTATCTTTCTTTGGTTTGATCCGCATTCTGGATAACTCCTTCTGACCCATATTTAAATTCACTAACATTCTTTTCAGCTGTGTCTAATCTGTTGTTAAGCTTGTCTTCTGAATTCTTAATCTCAGTAGTTTATTTTGAGTTTTATAAATTCGACTTGGTTCTTTTTCAAATCTGCTGGGTCACTTTTTTGGCGGCACAGGCTTCGGATGCGCAGGCCCAGCGGCCACGGCCCACGGGCCCAGCCGCTCCGCGGCATGCGGGATCCTCCCGGACCAGGGCACGAACCCGCATCCCCTGCATTGGCAGGAGGACCCCCAACCACTGCGCCAGCAGGGAAGCCCACCCAGCTGTTTTATATATCTTTAAACATAGTAAAAATAGCCATCTTATAGGCTGCATCTGTTAATTCCAATTTTTGTGCATGTTGTCTGGTTTTTCTACTCATTCTCACTTGTGTTATCTTATTTCCTTTTTTGTTTTGGCTACTTGCTGGCTATTGTATTTTATTTTATTTTATTTACTTATTTATTTTTTTATTTTTGGCTGTGTTGGGTCTTCGTTTCTGTGCGAGGGCTTTCTCCAGTTGGCGGTGAGCGGGGGCCTTTCTTCATCGCGGTGCGCGGGCCTCTCACAGTCGCGGCCCCCCGTTGCGGAGCACAGGCTCCAGACGCGCACGCTCGGTAGCTGTGGCTCACGGGCCTAGGCCTAGTTGCTCCGCGGCATGTGGGATCCTCCCAGACCAGCGCTCGAACCCGTGTCCCCGCATTAGCAGGCAGATTCTCAACCACTGCGCCACCAGGGAAGCCCCAAGGCTATTGTATTTTAAAAACTATTTGTAGGAATGATTTAAAGTCTTACATGAAGATATCTTTTCCAGATCAGATTTTCATTTGCTTCTACCAGTTGCCTGGGGAACTATCAGCCTGGAATCAACTTAATCCAAGCTTAAGGCTTGAGGATCCCTGGACCACCCAGATGATGCAAACCTGGATTACCAGTGTACAAGGGCTGGTTTATTTCCAGTTTACCTTTACTTTGAAGATTGTATCCTGATTAGGATTCCATATTAATGTGGGGAGTGGGTGAGGGGGTGGTTTCTCCTACTCCTTACCTTGGATGGATCCTGAACTTGGACTTCTGTACCTTTCACTCTAAAACGCCTTAGGGTAAAAGTCACTTTAAGTGCTAGACTCACCTATATGAGTTCTTGCTGTTTTCTAGATTTTGGCCTAGAGATTCCTCACTAGCTTATTAGCTCTTTGATGCTTTTAAGAACGTATATCATCCCACTTTTTAAATATCTTCAACAGGAGGGATAGTCTGAATTATCTAATCTCATTACTTGTTCTTAGATTCTTTTTCTTACATAAAGATATTGTTCTATAACCTTTCCCCTACTGTATAGACTGGCCCTTGGTAAAAATGTTGATATTCTTAAAGGTTCTGTAGAGATAGAAGGTACTTGGTTCCACTTTTTTAAAGTTAATGTGACTAACTCAGGAAGGCCTTCAAGCGTATGAATCTCTGAAAGCCCCAAGGAGCACAAAGACTTCTCTTTTTGTCTGATACTCTACTTGCCCTACTCTGAGGCTTTTTGGAGATGACAGATACACCTGTCTGAGAGAAATACTTTATAGCTGGATTAGGGATTTTCATAGGTTTTGCATTTCCTGCCATTTAATTGGCGTAGGATAGTGGTTCCCAATGTGTGAACCTAGATCCTCTGGGTAGAGGTTGGGGGTAGGAGTGAGTTTAGCTTTATTGCGAGGCATCTATGAAATCATAGACCTACCAACTATTGTCTGAATACCTAAGATCACAACTTTTGTCATGTGGGAGTGCACCAAAATAGTAGAAATCGTATATAGAAAACTCTGACACTACAGTTTTAGAAGGAAATTCCTACAGGATTAGGTTGACATGAAATTTGTCTCCAGAATGTTACAGATTCTTTACTGTCTACACAATGTCCAACATGTTTTGTTTTTCCATGTAGGAATCCTTTTATCACTTTATGCTACCATTTATAAAAATTATAAACCATCTCTTCCTGAGAACTTTTTTTTGGTAGACAGAGGTATATCCAGTGAACAAGGATACCCTAAGAAGAATTCTCATTGTCTTTTGTTTTTTTTTCCCCCTTGGTGATGGTTAGAATTCAGACGCTACTTGCCTCATCAATCCACAGTTCGAACCCCAGAGAAGATGGCTAGAGAAGGGTACCGAATATCTTTTTTGGACAACAAGTCTTCAGGTTCTTCTCCAGAAAAGGATTTGATACCAAAACCTGATACTTATCAGCTTACCCATGACGCCTCATTGGGTAAACGCCTGGATGTGGGTGATTCTAGACAGATTCATCCCTATCAGTTACCTTCAGATGCTGCTCTAGAAAATTATGATAGTCATTATTCTCAAAATCCATCCCTGCATGGAAGTCTTGGTAAAAGGCCTCAGACAAGCAGGAACTACCGAGAATATAGCACAAAACCTTCAAATAACATGAAGGCCACCACATCCCATTCCTGCGGAGACTTACCGACTTCTCTGTCAAACCCTGACTCCAGCACTGGAAGGCTTTTGAAGCTTAGTTCAGGTAATAGCTTCCTGTTAGACCTCTTTCATAGGCATGAAGATTGAAGTATAACTGGAAATTTGGGAATTAATATTTCTTAGATTGGGGAATTCCCTGGCAGTCCAGTGGTTAGGACTCTGTACTTTCACTGCCTAGGGTGTGGGTTCAGTCCCTGGTTGGGGAACTAAGATCCTGCAAGCTGAAAATAAATAAATAAATAAATAAAGTCACCTCTTTCATAGGCATGAAGATTGAAGTATAACTGGAAATTTTGGAATTAATATTTCTTAGATTGGGGAATTCCCTGGCAGTCCAGTGGTTAGGACTCTGTACTTTCACTGCCTAGGGCGTGGGTTCAATCCCTGGTTGGGGAACTAAGATCCTGCAAGCTGAAAATAAATAAATAAATAAATAAAGTCACCAGTGGTCCATAGAGCCTTGAGAAATCTGCAGGGTATGTGTTTAACATGATAGATATATTAGAGAAAATTTATAGACAATTTATAGAAATGCAGTTTCATAACTATATATTATTTTAGTTAAATATTGATAGCATCCTGGGACATATTTTTAGTTACATCTAGTCTTCTCTGGCCACAAGCACTTCTATTCTGAGTTACTTTTTCAGAAAAAGCTAGTTTAAGGGTAAGAGACCACTCCTTAGTTATTTATTTATTCAACAAAATGTATTGAATACCCACTATGTGCCAGATACTATTCTATCTCTGCAGATAAAGTAGCAAACAAAAATAAACATAAAATATATGTCAGGTTATGGTAAGTGTTGTGAAGGAAAGTAACATAAGGGTATTAGAGAGTAATATGGAGGAGGTGATGTTTTAGATAGAATGGTCAGGGTAAGCTTCTCAGGTGAGATATCATAAAAGTAGAGACTTGAATGAAGTGAGAGTGTGAGCCATGTGGATAACTGGGGGGAGAAATTTTAGACAGTGGAAATAGTAAGTGCAAAGTTCCTGAGGCTGGAACATGCTTGGCATGTTCAAGAAACAATGAGGAGGCCAGGGCTGCTGCTGCAGAGTGAGCCAGGTAAAGAGTATAGATGAAGTCAGATAGCCAGACATTTATTCTGGGTGAGATCAGAAGCTGTTGGAGAGTTTGTAGCAGAGGAGTGACATGATCTAACTTAAGAATTACTCTGGCTGCTGAGTTGAGAATAGACAATGGAGAGCAAGGATAGAAGTTTTTAAAATTAACAGATTAGAATCTGGATAAGAGATGATGGTAGCTTGAACTAGGGAGATAGCAGTGTAGGTGGTGAGAAATAGATTCTGAATATGTTCTGAAGATAACACTCCATGATTTGTTGGTGGATTGAGGATGAAGTGTGAGAGAAGGAAGGTCAAGGATAACTCCTAGGTTTCAAGTCTGAATAACTGGAAGAATAGAGTTACCATTTTACTCAGATGGAAAAGAGTGTGAGGAACAGGTTTTAGGATGGATACCAAGAGTTGGTCTTTGTCAGCTTAAGTTTGAGGTGCCTATTAAAACTTCTCAGAGATGCCAATTTGATAAGTAGACATATTAGTCTGGAGTTCAGGGAAGAAGGTGGGGCTGGGAATGAAGTGTGTGGATGGCATTAAAACAGACTAGATGAGATCTCCCCAAGGGAGTGAATATAGATAGAAAAGATATCTGAGGACTATTCTGAGTCCTCCAACAATTAGAAATCTCATAGATAAAGAGAAACCATCATGGAGAGCAAGAAAGAGGCAGCTACTAAGGTAGGAGAAAAAAAAAAAGCCAAGAGGGAGTGGTATTCTGGAAGCCAAGTGAAGAATATGTTTCAAGAAGGAGGGAGTTATAAATATAGTGTCAGATGTCCTTAATAGATGTCTTTAACACTTCTGGGACTGAGAAATGATCATGGTATTTGGCAACGCATTAGTGAGCAGCTTCAGGAGATGCGTTGTTAATAAAAGCCTTGTTGAGGTGAGTTCAAGAAAGAATCAAAGGAGAAGCGGTAGAGTTACCGAGTATATATGACCCCTTCAAGGAGTTGTGCAGTGAAGGGGAGCAAAGACATGGAAATGTAGCTGGAAGGGGGATGGAATCGAGATCATGGTGGAAATGATCCAGTAGAGGGAAAATTGATGATGCAGGAGAGAAAAGGGACAATTACAAGAAAAAAAATTGGGGAGTGGTCAAGAGGAGATGGAATCCAGTCCACCAGTGGAGAGGTTGGCCTTGGATAGAAGCACAGATAGTTCATCTATTACAAGAAGGAAGGGAGGGAATTTATAGACACAAATACAGATGGAATTGGTAGATTTAGTGGTTAGATCACATAGATGTTTTCTTTGATTGCCTCTCTTTCGCTCAGAGAAGTAAAGAGATCAGCAACTGAGAGTGAGAAGGTGTTGGAAGTTTGAGGAGAAGAGAGATGTGAAATAGTGATCTCAAAGAATAGAAGAGTAGGACTTCCCTGGTGGTCCAGTGGCTAAGACTCCTCGCTCCTAATGCACGGGGCCCAGGTTTGATCCCTGGTCAGGGAACTAGATCCCACATGCCTCAACTAAAGATCCTGCATGCTGCAACTAAGACCCAGCGCAGCCAAATAAATAAATAAATAAACATTTTAAAAAATGAGAAAAGAATTTGGAAAAGAGTAGATACATGTATATGTAAAACTGAATCACTTTGCTGTACACCTGAAACTAATATAACATTGTTAATCAACTATACTCCAATATAAATTAAAATTAAAAAAAAGAATAGAAGAGTAAATTGATTAGAGTAATGTATTAGGATAGCCGGGCCCAGTTAAAATAGTGGTTATGAATTTAAAGTGAAGATGTTGGAAAGAGATATATGTTGTTCTCCAGTCACTTCCCACTGCTCTGCTGTAGGCTTGGAGTATGTGCACAGTTGGATTTAACCAGAGTTGGGGTTTTGTCAGGTGGAGGGAGAGAGAAAGGGTCCAGAAAGTTGAGGGTATATACTAGGGAGAGATCATTATGACCCTTGGACTCCAGACAGGGTAAGGATGGAAGTAAGACATGAGAGAGTTGAAGAGCAGGTTCATCTCCTGGCCTGTTTCCTTCACAGATCTGTATGCCACAACCCACTTCAACAGCGACCCTGCTCTGCTGGTGAATGCAGAGCAAAACTTATCCACCAGCCTCGGCGATTTAACACCAGCACATGGTTCTTTCCCAAACAACACCATCCTGGGAGACTCTCTGCAGACACTGCTGTTGCCTACTGGGACTTCAGAAAACAGAGAGAGTTTGACCAAGGGGTCATTAAGCCCATCGAGAAGAGGATTCAAACGGAAAGAAAATATCCTTGATACCCTGAATCCAAAACATGGTTTCAGAGATGCTACAGGCAGCGAGGCAAGTGTTGGCTTGTTTGTGCTTGTGCAAAATCACATCAGGTCCAAGAGCAGAATGGGGTTCTGTTTTGGTGGTGGTGCTTCGGATGAAAAGAGGTAGAAATTCAAAGGGATTTTCAGAGGCCAGTGGGTAATACTGCCAGGCCAAAGCCTGTGATTCTTTTGCCCTTGGGAAGATCATTCCCCTTCTGCAGCATTTCCTCATTTATGTCACAGGGAGCAGGGTCCCTAATCTACTTCCAGAACATAAACATGGTGGAGAAGTACATTGATAATGAGAAGTGGTGAACAGAGTTTACCACAGGAAGGAATGCAGAAGTTGCCAGGGCCTCAGGGTTGGCTGAAGAGTGATCTCTGTAGCATTGATGTTTATAATCCTATCATGTTTACACGTTTGCCTTGGCTACAAATCACTAACTTGCTTGGGATCTTTCTTCTAAAAGCATTGCTTTCCTGTCCAGGAATTTAAATTATTCCAATTTTTTCCAAGATGAATTAGATTAAGAAGATAAATTAGATTTTCCAAGGGATTTTTAGCTGAGAAAGAACAACAAATCAAGAGCCATTCCCACATATACAATATAATCATTTCATAAAATTGTAGTATGATAGTTAGTGTTGTTCTTACTTAGTAACTAAGTTTTGTTGCTGCCGTTGCATACATCCCTCCATGGAGAATGCCTTCTTCTCTCCTCTCATCTGTTTGAATATTAATTTTTCTCCAGGCCCTACTTCCATCATGAAGCTTTCTTCTCATTAGTTAAAAGAACTATAGCTCTTGGGGCATGCTGTTCGCTTGAACCCATAATCTTTGTCATACGAATCATTTAATCATTTACTGTCTTGTGAGAAAGCAGGGGATTTGGTCAAAAATAACTATTTCTAGTCACTTATTTTTCAGTTGATGGAAATCTTTTTGCACATTGACATGGGTTTATAAGGGGGTTTTGTTGTTTCATTGGTTGGTTTTTTTACCCTTTAAATACTTTCTATTCAGTTTTCAAAACTTTGGAGGTGGTTGTAATTTTTGTGCACCAAAGGGGGCAGTCTTGTAATACTTTTTTGACTTTTTGGTCCTTTTTTGTTTTCCATTTTCAGCCACTGATGCCTATTTTTCCAGACAAAGAGCACTGGTGTTAATGTATTTAGGGTGAAGGTACAGAAACACTTAGGATATTTGGGTGCTATATTAATAAGACGTGTTCTAGGAGATTTTTCCACCTCTATTTCATGTGATAGGATTGTTAAAATAGCAATTAAAATCTCAATGCACTTTTCTGGACTATCTTAAAAATTCCCATTTATTTTTTCCTGTTAGATACTATATTTCTTTATATGAAAAGTTGTAAAAGACCTGTTTGAATATAAATATAAAAGAAATACACTGTTCAGTTTCTAGAAAGGTATAAATCAGAATAGCATTTAAAAAGTTATAACTTGAGGATATGGGGAGGGGGAAGGGTGAGCTGTGACAAAGCGAGAGAGAGGCATGGACATATATACACTACCAAACGTAAGGTAGATAGCTAGTGGGAAGCAGCCGCATAGCACAGGAATATCAGATTGGTGCTTTGTGACCGCCTGGAGGGGTGGGATAGGGAGGGTGGGAGGGAGGGAGACAGATGAGGGAAGAGATACGGGAACATATGTATATGTATAACTGATTCACTTTGTTATAAAGCAGAAACTAACACACCATTGTAAAGCAATTATACCCTAATAAAGATGTTAAATAAATAAATAAAAGTTATAAAAAATAATCCCATATAAAAAAACACACAAAATTAAATCAAACATGAATTTGTGAAAATTTATTTTTGACCAACTGACTTTAGAATCATAGACAAATTATAAAAATTAATTTTTAGGGCTTCCCTGGTGGCACAGTGGTTGAGAGTCCGCCTGCCGATGCAGGGGACGCGGGTTCGTGCCCCGGTCTGGGAAGATCCCACATGCTGCGGAGCGGCTGGGCCCGTGAGCCATGGCCGCTGAGCCTGTGCGTCCGGAGCAACAGGAGAGGCCACAAGAGCGAGAGGCCCACGTACCACAAAAAAAAAAAAAAATTTTAAAAAGCCATGAGGCATGGCTTTTCAGCTTTTAATTTGCTGAAAATTAAAAGTAACAAAATTATTCCAAAGTTCATAAAAAAAAATATCCCCCACTCTCACTGCATTGTGATAAATGAAAGAAAATACATAAAGGCATGTATGTGTTTCTAAGTTGTTCCATGATACGTACACAGAATTACCAATACATGAAAAACCAATGACAGTAAATATCCATTTTTGACAAGATCCTCTCAAGTGGGATTGTAGTGTGACCAGTTTTTCTATGACTTTTCTTCCTAATCAGATTGTTAACTTCTTAAGGACCTCATCTTTTACTTCTTCATATGTTCACAGTCCTTATGTAGAAATCTCCATGCACATGATCAGTGTTCAGTACAGATCTGTTGAATAAATGTTTATCCCATTTGTAATGCTTTTCCTTATTAATTATAGACCATCTGTGTGACTCAAGTCATAGGTATCACTGTCTGGTGTTCTGCTTCACAGTTGTCATATATGATAGCATTATCTAATTAATCATCTATAGTTTTAATATCAAAAGAGCCAAAGATTGAGAAATAATTTGGCTGTTTTTAATATATTACAGCTTTCTTGAAGTCCCTTGAGACCCTACAGAAAAGATTGTAGATTGATCTGTCCAGTAAAATTCCCAATTGTTTTTTATTCATTCAGACATGACTAAATAAATAGACATATACATCATATCTGAATGAACAAACAATTGGGAGTTTCATTGGAGAGCTCTACCTATACATCTATATACATAAGATTCTTACTGAATAAAAAGTATCTTTAGTACTGGGTCCAACAATAACATTTAACATAACATTTAAAATGTTATGGGATATTTATGTTTATTATATATTAATATACTAAATATAAGCTTATGAGTTATGACTTTTATTAAATTACTCCCCATTTTATTTTATGATATATAATACCTTAAAAAATGTTCTGCAGTTTAATCTTTCCATATTACATAACATAATACATTGAGCCATAGACATAGGTGTTAAAACATTTTTTTCTTCTAAAAATCTCTACAGAAAATTATCATAGAAGATACTGTTACCTTTGAAATTATCCTTGTATATATTATTGTATTTGCCTTAGACATTAATATTTTATTCAAATCCAAACTGAAAGATGAAACCAACTTTCTTTTTTTTCTTTTTTTAATGTTAACACTTTTTTTTTTTTTTTGCGGTATGTGGGCCTTTCACTGTTGTGGCCTCTCCCATTGCGGAGCACAGGCTCCAGACGCGCAGGCTCAGCGGCCATGGCTCACGGGCCCAGCCACTCCGCGGCAGGTGGGATCTTCCCGGACCAGGTCACGAACCCGTGTCCCCTGTATCGGCAGGCGGACTCTCAACCACTGCGCCACCAGGGAAACCCAATGTTAACACTTTAAATGTCTGGATTTTTACCTCCCTTATTGCATTAGAATGACAAATGGTTGGTTTTTTTGTTTTTTTTCTTGAGCCTCTCTCTAGTGACCTGGGCAGTTTGCATGGTTTGCCAGGAAACCACAGTCCCCCAATCTCTGCCAGAGCATCCCATGTGGCCACTGTCCTCAGACAGCTCCTGGAGCTTGTGGATAAGCACTGGAACGGTTCCGGCTCCCTCCTCCTCAACAAGAAGTTTCTGGGTAAGTGAGTGCATTCTCAGTTCCTGGAGAAGGGCTCAGACCTTGCTTCTGCTTCGTGTTTCTGCTCTATGTTCTGATAAAAGCCACTCAGTCCCCTTAACTTGCAGGGAAAATTGTTCTCATGATCACTTACCAAAACTTCTCAGCCACACAGTGATTGACAAACCTGCATTTTTCTTATAATCTTCTTCTAACCTGTTGTTTGTTTGCTTGTTTGTTTTTGGCTGCACAGAACAGCTTGCAGGATCTTAATTCCCCGACCAGGGATCGAACCCCGGGCCCACTGCAGTGAAAGCACCGAGTCCTAACCACTGGACCTCTAGAGAATTCCCTTCCCTGTTTGTTTTTATCAGCACTCTTCCCTCATGTACCAATTGTCTTGTTCCTCCTGTAAGTTTTTCTTGACAGTCTTTGAGTGATAAGATATAAAATAGAGCATGGTCATGTTAATGATTACAAAAGGATTTAATGATCCTTGGGAAAGTGCCAACAATAAATACAACAGAAATTGGGTTTGATCATTAGAGTTCTGAGATTCCTGTTGAAATATTCGATTCGAAAAATATGATTCAAAAAACTCCAGTGACTAAATGATGTGGACTCTTTTTTAGGGCTTCTTTTTTAGGAACTTGGGAGAAAACAGTTTTGCAGATATTGTCCCCATGTGTTTATTTGTTGTTTAATGTAAGAAGAATTCAAGGAGCTGTTGGTGGTGGTAAAAGTTTAAGTAAAAAACTAGAAACTTTAAAGTTGTTTGGGCTTAATTTTTCTTTTTTTTAAATTTCTTTTATTTATTTATTTTTGGCTGCACTGGGTCTTCGTTGCTGTGCGCGGGCTTTCTCTAGTTGTGGTGAGTGGGGGCTACTCTTTGTTACAGTGTGAGGGCTTCTCATTGTGGTGGCTTCTCTTGTTGCGGAGCACGGGCTCTAGGCACGCGGGCTTCAGTAGCTGTGGCTCACGGACTTAGTTGCTCCAAGGCATGTGGGATCTTCCCGGACCAGGGCTCAAACCCGTGTCCCCCTGCATTGGCAGGCAGATTCTTAACCACTGCGCCACCAGGGAAGCCCTCTTTTTTTCATTTCTAAAGGGACATACAGGAAAAGAAGTCTTAGCCCAGTTACTTTCCTTCCCACATTGATCCTTTGCTCTTGTTTTGTAGGAAATTATCCCCAGGAGCCACTCATCAGTGATTAGATAATAGCACAGAGCATGCACTCACGTGGGTCTGCTGTTGTTTCTCCATAGATGTGGGATATAATTTTTTAAATTAATTTTATTTATTTATTTATTTATTTATTTATTTTTGGCTGCATTGCGTCTTCCTTGCTGCGTGTGTGCTTTCTCTAGTTGCAGTGACTGGGGGCTACTCTTCGTTGTGGTGCATGGGCTTCTCATTGCGGTGGCTTCTCTTGTTGCGGAGCACAGGCTCTAGGCACGCGGGCTTCCGTAGTTGTGGCGCGTGGGCTCAGTTGTTGTAGCTCGCGGGCTCTAGAGCACAGTCTCAGTAGTTGTGGCGCACGGGCTTCGTTGCTCCGTGGCATGTGGGAACTTCCCAGACCAGGGCTTGAACCCTTGTCCTCTGCATTGGCAGGCGGATTCTTAACCACTGCGCCACCAGGGAAGCCCATAATTTTTTATCTCCATCATGAAACATCTCTTACAGCCACTTACTAAATTCTTGAAAAAAGGGGATATTAGATTACCCTGTTTGTCCTACAGAGCTGGTAGTTATTGACCAGGAATTCTGTGCTTTAGCTTTTAAGATTGGCCCATGTGCCCAACCTGAATTTTTGGCAGGTCCTGCCCGAGATCTGCTTCTGACTTTGGTAGTCCCTGCTCCTTCTCAGCAGTGGTGTCACTCACGTCCTGAAGATACATCAAAAGCCTCCCACAAGAGGGAGATGGAACTGAAGAAGATGGGGCAGCTGGTCCCTAATGACATGGTATGCTGCTCTCAGCTTCTTTTCCTACTCTTCCTTTACTAGAAAAGGATGGGGCACAAGATTAGAACAGGTCTGTGCCATAAAGAACATCATCACCATGAGCATCTAGATGTTTCTGAACTGAAATATAGAAAAGTCAGTCTGTGCAAATCTGGAACACAAAACTTGCAGGGACAGCTTGGAGGTTTTGCAGGGATGACTCCCTAATCCTAGCCCTAATCCAAAAATTCTAAGGAAAGAGTTGAAATGGAAAAAGAAAAAAAAAAAGGCCCTAGAATGAAAACATTTAGGACCATGTTCTTGAAGGTTATGGTTTGATTCAGATGAGGGAAGTTAGATGTGTCTGGGATTATCTTTCCTCCCTTCTGATGGAGAGCCCTAAACCAGGGGCCATTCCTAGAGTGTTAGGCTGCTGGCTCTGGGAGGGAAAGAAGGGACTCATATTCTTAGGCTTTTTTCCTCCCTTTTCTTAACATTAGAGGATTTTCAGGCATCCAGTTTAGTTTCTAGAAACTTTAGGTAGGTGACTCAGATGCTGGCCACTTGTCAAAACAACCACTTGTTCTGCAAGAGTAGTGGATAACTCACAGGAAAGATTGCAATTGCATGTGATAAATTTGTTTGCTGCACTTGAGCTATGTTTACTGATGAATTAAAATTCTAGTGAGAAAGAGAGATGCTGACCTCCATTCAGTTTATCACTAAACAGAGGAAAGATTTTTTCAGTTTTCTAAAAGCAGTCCTCAGAATTTCAGATTCTTAATGTGTTTGTATTTTGTTTTCTAATCTAAAGGAAAGTTTGAAGCAAAAACTGGTCAGAGTGCTGGAGGAAAACCTTATTTTGTCAGAAAAAATCCAGCAATTGGAGGAAGGTGCTACCACCTCGATTGTGAGTGGGCACCAGTCCCACACTTATGGTAAGTTCAGGAAAGCAATGTGTGGTGCATCCCAAGACAACCGTTTGTTTATAGATGGCCCGTTTAATAAGCTTCGTCATCCAGAGCTCACATGGCTTCCTAAATGGAAATAACCATCTAGCTTCAGAGTTGTAATGCAGGTGACTTGAGTTACCAGAGTAAAAGAGTTTACTCTTTTATCAGTGTAAAGCATTTACAAATGTGTTATTATTGTCATTATTTTTGAGAAAGACACTTGTTTTTTCTGATTATAGCAGAAGATCGTGTTCTTTACAGAAAGTTTGAAAAATATAAGGAAAATATAATCTCACTACCCAGAAATAACTACAATTAGTGTTTTTGGTATATTTTCTTTCACCATATGCCTATACATATATTTAACTCAGAATTAAAATTTGTGTCTTGATTTTTAAAAACTAATTTATATACAACAAAATACACACATTTTAAGTTTGATGAGTTTTGACAGATATGTATATTCATTTAACTCCATCCCAGTCAAAATACAGAACACTTCTGTACTCTAGAAGGTTTGACCCTTGTGCACTCAGTTCCCGCTACTCTCTACCCTAGGCAATTGATTTCTACAACCTAATGTTATTAATTTAATAGCACAGGCATTTCCTATAATGTTACACGAATATACCATATTTCTCTATTCAGTCCTCTATATAGTTGTTTTTAATGTTAGCTATTATAAATAAAGCTGCCACTTTTATATTATAAATAATTCTAATTCTAAGAATTTCCAAACATTCGAAAGACCTGAAATAGAAGAAAAGACCCTAGAGTGAAAATGCTTCTCTAAGATTCTCTTTCTTCTCTTCTGATGGAGCTAAGAGTCCTAATATTTATGCTGTGATAAATAATGCAGCTATTAATATCTGTGTATATAAATCTTTGTGTACATTTTAGACTATTTTCCTAGCAGACATTCCTAGAAGTAGAATTAGTGGGTCAAAAGATGTGGACATTTTTGAGGTTTACACACATCATGAGGTTACACACATCATTCCCAAGAAAGATGGTTTCAGTTTACACTCATATCGGCAGTTAAGTATGTATTTGAATGCCTTTTCATTTCACCCTTGCCAACACTGGGTATTATATTTTTTTGCCATTATGATAAGTGAAAAATAATATCCCATTGAATTCTTGATTTGTACTACTTTATTATTAGTATAGTTTAGGTATATAAAGTCTACCTCGACTTTAAGCTTCTAGCTCAGCACCCACAAACAAACATTATGGGTATTTGGATTTTGATTTGGAAATCAGCATTGAATTTCCAGAGTTGAATCTCATCACTATCTGATATTCATAAGCCTGAATAATCAAGACATCATTCTCCACTTACCTGCATTGAAAATAAATAGGTGTTTATTCACTAGATACCTACTTTCTTTTTTTAAAAATAAATTTATTTATTTAATTTATTTATTTTTGGCTGCGTTGGGTGTCCGTTGCTGCGCGCGGGCTTTTCTCTAGTTGCGACAAGCGGGGGCTACTTTTCGTTGAGGCGTGCGGACTTATCATTGCAGTGGCTTCTCATGTTGCGCAACACGGGCTCTAGGCACGCGGGCTTCAGTAGTTGTGGCTCGCAGGCTCTAGAGCACAGGCTCAGTAGCTGTGGCGCACGGACTTAGTTGCTCCGTGGCATGTGGGATCTTCCCAGACCAGGGCTCGAACCCATAGTCCCCTGCATTGACAGGCGGGTTCTTAACCACTGTGCCACCAGGGAAGCCCTAGATACCTATTTTCAATCAGCCATGAGACCCAGTTCTCTATTTTGGATTACTGGTGATAAATACAGCTGTTGCAGCCCTGATTTCCACCTTCCAGAACCTTGCTACTCAAAATGTGAGCCACACATCGCAACATTAGCATCACCTGGGAGCTTGTTAGACCTATAGAACATCTGGCCTCACCTCAGACCTACTGAATTAGAATCTGTTTTCTAAAAAGATCCCCAGGTGATCTGTAAGCACATTAAAGTTTAAGTACTGTTCTAGAAGACTGACTTGCTTAGGACCAGAGTTCCTGTGCTTTTACCTACCTTATTATTGCAGGCAGTGGCAACATATTTGGAAAGCTAGATATGCCTTGGCCACAAATCCAGTTTCTGAAAGCACTCCTTGAGCTACTCTCATGTGCCTGACACAGTTCTAGATGTTTTCACATATTCCGTACAGAGTGAAGGACATACATTCATGAACTAAAATGGAGAATACAAGGAGACCAAATATGTGTTGACTGCCTATGCTATGTGAGCACAGATGTCTCACTGACTCCTTATAACAGTGCTACCCGGCAGGGTTACTAGCTCTAGTGAAACTCACCAAAATGAACTAACGTGCAAGATTAAGTGGTTGAATTTTAATTCAGATATGTCTGTTGCGAAACCCTATATTCTTGCCACTATATCTGCTGTTTCCAAGGGAGGGAATGATGAATGGAGGGTGGAGGTGGGTGCAGTGGGGCTCCCAACTCTTCAAGATGTCTCCCTGATCACTTAAGCTCTGCTCAAAGACTAGCCGCTTGGAATCCTCTCACCCCTGGCTACTGTAACCTTTGTAGATGATCTTCTGCACAAAAACCAACAGCTGAACATGCAGGTGGCTTGCCTGAACCAGGAGCTTGCCCAGCTGAAAAAGCTGGAGGAGATAGTGGCCCTTCTCCACGAAAGTCAGAGGTAGGACTGGGTCCATCTAGCTGACTTCTGGAAGCAGATATTTACTTTCCTTTATCTCTTTTGTTTTACTTGGCAAGTTAATATCTATATACTTTTCAAATTAACTCTATTCTGTGTGCAAACCACCTGTATCCAGGCCAGTTTGCTCAGGGATCAAAATACTGCTTTCCAGAGCACACCAGTTTCTGATTCAGCAGATCTGGGTTGGGAACTGAGAATTTGCATTTCTAGTAAGTTTCCAGGTGATGCTCTTGCTTCTGGCCTAGGGACCACACTCTGAGAACATTAAGATATATATCTTTAGTGATGCTATATTTTAGAGTAACTTGAAATAATTCTTCTGTGTGTTGTTAAACCATCAATTCAATATACAGGTTCAATTCATTTCATTTTGTTTGATTCATAGGGAATATTTTTATTATTTTGATTTAATCTTGTGTATAATTAATGTAAAACTTACATGGTCCCAAAGTCAGATCCACAAAATCAGATAAATTCAGACAAATCTAGCTTCCTTACCTGTCTCCTCTATCCTTTCCTTCCTTCCCACTAGCCTTCCATTGCAGGTGTGGGTGTGTATTTGTGTTCCCCCTCTATTATATAAAAAGAGGCATAATGTTGCTTTAACATTTTATCTAGAAATCATTTCACAGTGGTGTATAGAGTTAGTTCTCACTCTTTTTATACATGCATAGGACTCCACTGTGTGTGTATTTAATTAGTCCTCTACTGATGGACATTACAGTATCTTGCTGTTGCAGATAGTGTTGCAGTGAATAGCATTGTGCATGCATCTTTTTTGGCGGGGAGGGGCAGTCTCTGATAGCTTCCAACATTACATGGTAATACAGAGTCCAAGAATACAGTCATGACTAGCACCATGAGTTTAATTGCAGAGGCAGGATAGATTAGAAGAAGTAGAAATTAAGATTTGGGGATAGAAATTGGAGGTCTGGTCAGGTGCTAGTCTCCCCGTGCGTCTACTTACTTCATCATGAAAGTGCTTTGGAAAGATCAGAACAATCACTATATAAAATGTGAACTATGTTATTGCTACAGTCAGTCTGGAACATAAACAGAACTGCAATGAATAAATAAACTGTCTGCCTGCTTTTAAAATAACCAACTCATAAATCAGACAGTTCTTTCTATTTAAAGATGTTACTTCATTTTACATTTATTTTTTAATTTTTATTTATTTTTTTTTTTACATTTATCTTTAGCAAACATTTCAGGTCAGAATGGCAACTACTTTGCTTTTATGACTTCATGACTGTCTTTTTCCCCCATGCCTCAGATCCCTGGTGGTAACTAATGAGTATCTGCTGCAGCAGCTGACTAAAGAGCAAAAAGGTTATTCTGGGAAAGCACTCCTGCCTCCTGAGAAGAGTCATCATTTGGGGAGATCATCACCCTTTGGGAAAAGCACTCTGTCTTCCTCCTCACCAGTGGCACATGATACGGGTTAGTATCTAATACAGAGTGTTTCAGACTCTGTCCCAGAGCCTAGTCTATGGAGCTAGCACTGCACACCTTTTTTGCAGCTTCCCTTTCAGCCCCAGGGGGCTCTCAGTGTCATTGCCACTAGTATGGTGGTATTCACTCACAAGATTAAGAAAAAAATCTTATTTTAATTAGACTATGTTGGTCCTTTTTATTTCTTTTTATCTCCTCCCATCAAGTCGTTCTTTCCTTCTGCCCACATAAATAGTTGGCACTTAGTCCTAGGCATCACATCACATAGAAACGTTTGGCTGAAAATGTCAAAAAGAAAAGAACACTAGACATTTTTCCCAAGTGTCAGTTGAAACTGTGTAGTAGGAAGTTTAAAAAGAATATCCATGGCCAGGTATGTTTTGTGTTAGCAGAAATTTTGGAGAACCTCTATTGATCAGTTCATCAAACGTGTTTTGGGTTTTCTCCCACCATAGTGAAAAGGTGACAAGGTCCGGTGTCTTCCTGGAGCAGCCAACGGTTTAGTTGTGTGATGGAGCTCAAAGCTTGCCATTGGTACCAAACAGGCCTAAATAAAAGCCTAGAGAGATCCTGGAAAGACAGACAGAGTAGGTAATTCCTACTCTGGAGAATTGAAGAAGGCATCAGTGAGGACTTGTTTGAGTGGAAGCTTGGCAGAATGAGTACAATGGTACCAGGTAGAGGGGGTGCAGAGCCTCCTAGGCCAAGAGTACAGAGTAGGAGAGTCAGGCCCCCAGAGGGATCACCGGGCAGGGAAGATGTAGGCCATGGTGCTATGACAGTATATAACTGGGGGACCTGTCCTAGCCTGGGAGAGAGGTGTGATATCAGGAAAATGTCCCCTATAGAAATGATCTTTCAACCAAGACCTGAAGAATTGAATAGGAGGTCACCAGGCGAAGCATAGGATTGAGGGCAGAGGCAGTGGGGAGAGCTGCAGAGAGAAATAGCATAAGCAATGGCCATGAAATGGGAAGGAACATGGTTCATTCAGGGAATGGAGGGCCTGAGAGGAGATACACAGGAGCTAGGTCGCATGGCTCCCAAAAGATTTTAGATTGGGAAGGCAATCTACTCTATAAGAAGAGTAGATTGACCTCCGGCCATGTGGAGTGGACCAGAGAGGAGCTAGAGAGATAAGAGAGAAGGCTAGTGCAGTCCAGACCAGAGGTGTGGCTTCTGAAAGTTAGCTTTGGGCTCAGCATCCACTTTACATGTCAGTACCTTGTATTTCAGACTGAGGATCAATCTTTTCTTTAATCCTGATTGATTAGGCATCAATGGGAAAAGATAATGCAAGTGGCTCTAGGTATGTCTCTACTTCAAGGTTGCACAAGTAGCTAATGTTGCCAGAGAGCTTTACAGGGCAAAGGACTGTTTAACCTAATGTCATATTGTACTTCTCTTCATCTTCAGGGTCATGTCAGAGAGAGAGGCAGGTGGAAAGATTAGGCACTTATTTGCTCCCCTGACCCAGGTGCTGTGCAGGGAAGGAGAGCTATTGCTGTAATAATGAGACATGAAGATCACAACTAAGATCACACATCTCTAAGTTATAAATAAAATCTACAGATCTCTCAATTTTATGTAGGTTCCCAAAAGGAGCATGCACAGAGGAGCCATAAGTTTCTTTGAGCTGCATGGCTCTGAGGGAGCTAGAGTCAGCTCGTTTTCTCTGGAAGTGTCAGTAAGAACAGCCCCCCTCCCCGCTCTCATGGGCCTGTCTTGGCCCCATTGAGAGGCCTCCAAAGAGCCTAAGCCTTGCCCAGGTAGGGCAGCCTTAGCTAGTAGCCTCATAGCCCTGTGTTGTCATATTTCACCATCCCAGCCCAGTGCACAGGCCAACTTACTGGACAGCCGATGGGGGCTAGGGGAGGTGGGGGCAGGGATAACGGACTTCTTTCTACAACCCAGCCCTCGCTTCCTTCTCCTATGAATCTCCTATGAATGCTAGCCCAGAACCTATTCAGGGTACCTCTAAGGAGAAGCAAAGAGCCTGACCCAGACTAAGTCACCTTCCACTCTATTTTCTATTGTCACTGAAAGTGGCTGGTCCTACCCTAGGCCAGGCCCCTCTCTAGGGTTGCTGGCCACTCATGCAGAGGTCAACTGTGTTTCTGATTTTCACTGTGTGGCCCTTGGTCCAGAGGGCAGGGGTAGGGATTGGTGGCATCAAGGGAAGGGCCAAAGAGCTGTTGCCCTATGGGGCTAAGTGGGCTCAACATGGAGTGGGGGAAGACCCCTGAAGCAAGTAGAAAATAAGTGGACAAGAATTCCTCACCCTGGGCCTGGCACTATTAGGAGAAAGAAGGAAACAAGGCTGGGATAGAAAATAGGTCCTCAGGGAAGTTCTCCAAAAGGAGAGGCAGGGCCCCTCTGAGGTTTGGCCTTCCCGCCAGTTATACATAGAGGGTTTTAATGGCTCCATCCCACAGATCCTAACTTCTCTTCCTTGCCCAACTGGCTTTGCTAGCAAGGGTACCCAAAGCTTTCCACTATGAGGAGGCTATGGGGAGATGGAGCAGTGATAACTGAAGGGCTGAAGTGGCATTGTTTGGTCAGTTCCTGCCATGAACCAGATTCTGCTAGACTAAGGGTCTTCCTGGCTCTGGGTGGGCCTTGATTTCCCTCAGGCTCCATAACTTTTAAAGAAGAGGGGGCTTTACTCCTACAAGGTGGAGTTTCGGGACTCCTCCACTTCTCTCTCTGGGCTCCTCTAAGCCACACTGCCAATCATAGGAGGGGCCAAACTGCTGCTCCCATGCGCACTGGATGGTAATCTCACCTGCAGCTTAAAAGCTTAATAACCTGGACCAGGCCAATTTGCAGGATTTGGGTTTCTCTCCTATTATGCTAATTTAAGTAAGCTTGCAATTTAAACCAATTCCCCAGGGCTGGAGGAAGTATTCCTCTTACTGTATGCTGGTGGGAGAGGTAGAGCTGTCTGAAACTCTTCCCTGAGCAATGCAAGGTCAGCGGAGTCAGGAAGATCCCACAACTGTCAGCCATTAGGCAAGCCTCTGCTGTGACCAGGTGATGATCTCTGCTCTCTAATTCTCACCTCACCCCCCAGTGTCTCTGTTCCAAGCCACACTACCACTCTTTACCCTCGCTCCAAGTGACTTTGGGCTCAAGGGACTCCGGGGCCACCTGGGGCAAGAACGTCCTAGAACAGCCCGAGGGAGAGGGAATAAACAGTCGTGCTGCTTTGCTTTATTATCTGGGTCAAGAAAAAGTATTTGTGAATGTGTGCCTTTTAAGCCTTTTCTAGCACTCTTAGGGACTCTGGGCAGTCCCTGAGTTCCATCCAGCCCACTTGTCAGCAGGAAGGAGGGAGAGTTGGCCCCAAAGCCTTAGACTTGGGAATAACTCTGGCCTAACACTGAGAACCTCAGAGGGGAGAAAAGGTTGATCTGAAAGCTCCCAGGAGTTCTCAGGATCAGAGAGAGGACACCCTCCCCGCCACCGCCCTGCAACCTGGGATGATGAACAGATGGGAGGGAATCAGCAAGAAGAGGCCCCTTCACTGTTGGACACCCTGCTCACCTGTCAAAGGCTGATGTTGGGTGCCAAGTTCTATTGCTGGCCATCCAGCCTCACTTTTGGAAATCAGCGTTGGGGCTTGCTGTGTTAGAAACAGCCTGGCCAGGGAGGCAAGAGGCATGGTTCTGGCCTCTATTCTGCAGAGGCCCTTTCACTCTCTGGGCCTGAGTTTCCTCAGCTATAAAATTGGGAGTTGAACTGTCTACTGTCTGCTGTCTTGCATTTTCTGATATTCTGAGATGCAGCCCAGAATGACTCACCTTGGTAGCCCTCTGGAGTGGAGGCCTGTCAGCAAGCTTAGAGCTGAGGCCTGGCACTGGGCCCCACCAATGCTTAGCCCAGTCTGAGTTTGCTGTCTCATCGCCCCCACCTGCTGTGAAAGCCGAGAGGCCAAGACTGAGGCCCTAATTGCGGGAAGATAGCCATGATGTCAGAACTCTAGGTCAGGGCTGAGGTAAAAGGCTTTTGATTTTCCTATAGAGCATCCTCATTCAGCCTGGCCCTGTGCTAATGGAAGGGGCCTGGTGTGTGTCTTTTTCTGGGCAGGGATGCCAGTGGAAGAATCAGCAGAGTGCGACTTGGAAGGGGTTGATGACAGAGGGGTCGTGGGGTGTGAATGTCATTACCCTTGTTGTCATATACCTGACCAGGCCATATTGGTACAAAAGGTGGCTTTATTGAGGTCCGGGTAAGAATTAGGCACTTGGCCAGAGCAGCAGCTTAAATATGAGGCAAGCAGGCAGGGGTTAGCCATGCCCGGGGCGAGGCTGGGGTGGTGAGCCTATAGGCACAGACTCTCCTCAGACAGACAGAAGTCGAGGGGGAAAGAAAAAGGGGAAGGGGATGCAGAGCAATCTGGGTCAGAGGTCTGGTGGGCTGGCCCCATAGGGCTGGGCAGGAAGCGCTGGGCGGCAGATCCAGCAAGGAGGGGACCGGGCTCTCTTGCTCCACATGCCCCTTAGGCGCAGGCCTGAGCCTTTGGCAGGGGCAGCCGTGCTAGGGGGGGCCTTCCCAGGCCTCACTTCTTCACCTTGGCATCATAGGTACCTGCATTCTTGTAGGCACTCACATAGCCACTGTCATCCAGGATGTCCTGCCGCCCAGCAATGCCCTTGCCCTTGCCGCTCTCGTCGAAGCGTTCCTTGTGGGAGCCCGTGTACTTGCTGGTGTCAGTCAGGCGTTCCACAGCACCCCCTGTTTTTGCTTTCTGTTTGGACAGAGTTCCCCCAGGGGTACCTGGTTAGGGAGCCCAGCCCTTCCAACCCCAGCCAAGATTCCCCATACCCCCCCTCAGTGGCCAGCCGAGACCATCAGGGCACTTACAGTAACACCCACATTGGCTGGTTCCTTGCCTGCCACCAGCTGACAGATGGCATCAAAGGCCTCCTCCTTGCTCTTCCCCTTGAATCGCTTGGGTGCCAGCTCTTCTAGGGCCTTCTTGAACTCCTCATAGTTGATGACCCGGGCAGACTTCCCCCTGCCAGATATGTGGACACCATGAGTTTTCCCCCTTCTCCACATCCTCCCTGGTTCCAGCCCCCCAATTCCCCTTCTGGGAACATCAGAAGCAGGGAATGCCTGGGGCTCACTTGACTTTGGAGAAGACGATGTCGACATCAGTCCCTGTCACAGCCTTTCCGTCAGCCACCTTGCAGTCCTTGCACAGCTTGGCCCAGTTCTTGCCATTCAGCTCGTGCCCACTGGCCTTGGGATCACCATGGATGGCAAACTTGCGGAAGCTTTCCTCCAGCCCAGCCACATCTGTGCTCGCTGCCATGCCACCCTGTTAGGGACCCACCTTGGTCACCTCCTAGCCAAGCTCTCCCCCCCACCCCCCAAGGCACAGAGCATCACTGCCTCTACCTCAAAACCTGCAAGGTTGAAGTTGCAGGCACTTCTGCCACATACCCTCAGAGCTGGAGATGGAGCTGCCTGCAGAAAGGGGCCAGTACTCAAATGTCTGACTGGGCCCCAGAGCCGTGAGGAAGAGCCCCGAGAGGAAAGGTCCTGTCACTTAATGCCAGCCTGGCTCAGAGTGGAGTTCAGAAGATGAAATCATGATGCTCGCACCAGGCTGGGAACAGAGTAGCACTGTCCAGAAAAACTGTGAGAGCAGCAGCTGGGGCCATGGCTTTGTCTGGCCCTGGCACAAGGCCTGCTTGGGTGGAAGTCAGGGTGGCAGAGCGGGCCCCCTCCCTGGGAGTTCCATGCCAGGCTGGGTCAGGACCAGGCCAGGCTGCTGCTTGGGCAGGTATTTAGTGAGGACAGTGTCTCTCTCAGGGTCATGAGGACCCAGCAAGACCCAGCCCAGGCTGAGAAGGGAGCCAGAGCACAGGCAGGGGTGCAGCTGGCCCAGCTGGGACCTTGTTACTATTTGCTATTAAACAAAAACATGAGGGAAGGGGAACTTGGGGCTGGCCTGGCCACAGTTTGTGAAGCCTGGAGACAGTTGCTAAGGGAGGGTGGTACTGCTTGGAGAATGTTGCTAAGGGCAGGATGGTGTCAGGGCAGCTCAGGGAGAAGCTCCCAGTGCTGCTGGGCTGGGCTGGAGAATGGGCTTACGGGTGGGGCACATCAGCACTCCCAGCACCTGGGGCACAACCGTGGCTTCCTGGCCCCTTTCCAGCCATTGGGGCTGTAACGTCCCAATTTGTGGAGTTTAGGAGGAGCAGGAGATTGAGGGGCTAGCCTGAGTGGGGGTTGTAGAGTTATGAGCCCCTAGAGGCATGACGGCAAGTGAGACCGTGGCCTTGGCCCTGTAATCCTCACACCTACACTCTGCGCTGAAGCACACTTCCCCAATGTCTACACCTTCAGCCCTCTATGGAGGCCTCCTGGCCACACCCTGAGCACCACCACACTAGTCCACACTCTCACAGCTGTGTGCACTTAGCCCTGGCCCTCCATACCTTCGGCCTTAGTCCCACTGACCACACCCCTTAACCTGGTACTCAGACCTCCCTGACCACACCAGCCCTGAAGTGCCCCCCACACCCCTTACTGCAGTCCCCTGACCACACCCACAACCCTGGGACAAAGGGCCCCGGGCCATTCCCTCAGCATGCACGCCCCACACATATACTAACAGCCCTGTACTGAGGCCCCCCAGTAATAACCCTCAGTCCTGCACTAAAGGGTCTTCCCCACACTTGCCCACAGTACCCACTGCAGTCCCCAACCACACCCTCAGCTCTGCACTGAAACTCCCTCCATGTAACACAGCCTGGTACTGAGGCCTCCCTGACCACACCCTCAGCCCTGCACTGCAGCCACTTCCATCCATACACGGGAAGCCCTGGGACTGGGTCCCCCGTTCACACACCCACAGGCTTTACTGAGACCCCTAACCAGAGCCTCACAACTCACCCTCTCTCCATACATCTGCAGCCCCTGACCACACCCTCAGTTGTGTCCTCAGCAACTATCTTCCACCTCTCCCTTTTATAATAGAGCCTCCAGTGACCACAGCCTGGAGCCTGCCTGCCTACCCGCCTTCCACTACCACTGGCCTTAACACTGAAAACCCTCCCCGGGTCACCACACTCACCCATCCCTAAGTTGCAGTTTCTGGAACTGGGATCACCCACAGCCCCTACACTGCAGCAACTCGGTGGGTCCAGAATCCCTTTCAAACAGCACTCCCCTTCCCTCTCCCTACACTGCAATCTCCCACCAGCAATCTGAAGGAGACCCGCACTTTGTTCACCAAGGGTAAAGTCTGGGGGAGCTTGAGTGCCACAGGATGCTTGTTCCAGGGGCCTAGCAGGACCCTGCACCTGTGCTCACTTCTGTCTGTGAGAAGATGGATTCTTGGTAATTTCAGGCTGATCAGGTGGTGCCAAGTCACAGGCCCCGGTCCCAGGGGTCTGCAGGCCACGCTCGCTCCCGCTGGGACAGCTGGAGTAATCAGTCAGCAAGGAGTTGGGGGTGGGGGGTGGAACGTTTGGGCCCAGGGCAGGACCACTCAGCTGGTGTCCTCAACTCGGTACCATCCAGGGTTGGGACCCCTCCCAGGCCGCTCCCACCCCACCCCCTTCTTATCGTGCAGGATATTGATTAGAGTGGTCGGCGCCGGGGTCTCCTACCGGCTTCTCCCTCGTGGCTGTTCCTGCAGTGCACGTTCGATGGACAGAAAGAAAGACGCAAGAATGGACCGATGGACGCAGGAGACTAGGCGGCTCCGCAGCTCTGCTCCCTGCCGGCTCTGGGGCGGGACTGCAGGCCGGGCGGTTCCGCCGTATTATTCCCTTGTTTCTCGGTCTCCATAGAGACGGCGAGTCCCACCCCCGGGGCTGTCTCGGCGGGAGAGTGACCAAGGTCACGCTGGCTCCACCTACCCGACCTCGCCCTCTCCGCTCTCCGCGGGGGCGGAGCTGCTGCGATAGTCTCATCCCGCTGCATCTATGGCTGGGGTGACCAGACCTGAAGTTCAAAGCTGATCCCTGCCTCCAGGGGAGATCCAACTTCCCAGAGCAGCAACCGAAGGCCTTTGGCGGGGGGCGGGGGGGGGGGGCGCGGCGTGCAGAGGAGTGGTAAGGTCCCTTCTCTTAGTGACAGTGGGGTCTAAAGCTGGCTCAAGACCACAGCTCTCCAATGAACGTGTGGCATCCCAAGTCACAACTCCGGGTTATTGGGGGCGGGAGGGGACAGTAAACGAATCACGAGTGCCAGCCCCAAAATGCTGGTACACCGACGTCTCTCCCGCGGCCAGGGAAAAGCTCCTGGACTTCCTGGGTCCGCGTCCTCATTTATTCCCACCCCAAACCGGTGTTAGCCTCGCAGTCTCTGCTTCCGCTGCTGCCTCCCGACCCCAAAGCCTGCTTCCCCTCCTCTCTCCAAGTGCAAACCCTAACTTCAAGAAAAATAACCTCCTCCAGGCAGCTTCCAGGACCTTTCCCAACCAGGAGCCCCGTACCTGAGCTTCTCCATATGACAATCTGGGTGGCCACCCAGCGTACGGTGTGTGTGTGTGGGGAACCCACCTCAACCTCTGCCCCTAGGCTGACTTGCAATGGTCCGGCTCCAGGAGGGCCCGTGGCCCTTGCCATTAAGAAGGTATGCACTAACTCCGCAAAAGCATAAAAAAGTTTATTGGAGCATCACGGCTGGTGGGGCTGTTATTGCTGAGTCGTGGGGGAGGGGGCCGATCCCGCCGGCCCTTAGCGGCCCCTAAAGTGCACTCAGTACGGCGGGGGTGGGGGTGTTGCATAGAGAGTCTGTCCCGCCTTTCCTCCGCCATCCCTGTTTCTTGTCCCAGCTAAGCGGGACCGGCTTCCGGGCCGCCCCGCGCACCGGGATCGCCGCTACTCGGGCTTACGAAAACGGCCGGCGCACGCGCCTGCAGCGCCAGCCCGGCGCTGCCTAGGCGCGTCTGAGCCACTGGAATCTCGTCCATGGACTCGGCTGACGCCGAGTGGTAGGCGCCTGCAGGGCTGGCGTCAGCGGAATCCGACGACGAGCTAGAGCGGCGGCCGGGGGTCCGCGGCCCTATGGGGCCGGAAGGGAACGTGAGACTAGGAGCTGCTACTCACTTAGGGCCCTACCTTTCCCTCCCTCGTAGCTCCCCGAGCAGGATCCGGTCAGGAAGGGGCGCTCACCCGGCAGCCTGGACAACGGGGCCTCCCGGTCCAAGGCTCTGGAGGTCCGTACCTTATACATGCGCCGCTTCCTTTTTTTCTGCAGAGACAGGGGGAAGCCTGAGTACCCCTTCCCCAGACCTCACATCGCCAAAAGACGCGCAGGAGTGGAGAGGGGTAGAGGCTTCTTTCCCATCCCCTTCCACCTGGGCAGGGGGCCCAGCACAGTCCCCCCCTACCTGGGGTCGGATCCGGGGGGGCAGAGCGAGAGTCTCTGGGGAGGAGGGCGGTGGAGGCTCCACGTGGCCGCGGGTGGCAAGGAACCGGGAGGAGCTGAAGGGGAAGTGGGAGGATAAATCCTGGATGCTGTTGTTCCTTCAAATCCCACCCTGTTGGAGGTCCTAAAATAAGCCTCCCTTCCTAGCTGGAAAGGCGCATTGATCTGTCCCAGGCCATGATAGCCTAGACCAAGACCTGTGCCTTGGCTTTGGCCTAACCCCTTTCTCCCACCTCGATGGCCCTGCCATGCCAACGGGAGATGTGAGGTGGCACTTGCCCAGGTTGCACTCACTTAGCATTCACTGAGGCAGGCCTGGCCTGGCCAGGGGGCTCTGGGCGCACATGGCTGAAGGTCCGCATGTAGAACTCCATCTCCTGGGGAAGATGGAGGTGAGGGAGGCTGGGAGGCCAGGTGTGGGTCCAGGGCCTTCTGGGTCCTGGGCCCACTCTGTCTTGGATGCAACACCCCCTTACTGGTCACTGTGGGAGGTCTGGGCACAGAGGTCTAGGGCTGTCCTTCAGGCTTCCCAGGTATGCTGGGAAAACCCCAATGCAGAACGAGGCTTAAAACACCTGTGTTTGTACCTTACCCCACCCCCACCATTTTCCTCACTTCATTTAGTCAAACTCCACCTCCTCCAGGAAGCCTCCAGCCTCATGTGTCCAACGTACCCAGTCTAGAGCTGTTCTGGCCAAGTTGGGTTGGGGAGAAGAGGGACTCAGAGAGGCCCTCTCCTGCTCCTGGCTCCTCCCAGGGCTCCAGTCTCTGAACCGATGTTTTTCCCTAGTTGGGAGACTGGGCAGTTCACACACCCGGGTGTGCACCCGAGGCTGCGAGGCTACCTGCAGGAATCCATGGTTCCCTCGGAGCTGAGTCCTCAGAGTACCAGACACAATCTCAGCTGCTGGCGGGGAGTGGGGGGATGAGCAGTCTCCCCAACTTCTACCGGTAAAGGGAAGCAATAGGTGGTGGAAAAAACAGCGCCACAGCCCCACCTGGGACCAGGCGTATGGGTGTTCTCTGTCTTGTTTAGTCGCTGATCCTCACAGTGACCATGGGAGTAGCAGACCCAACCCCTGAAAGTGAAGGGGTCTGAAGCCAGGAGGTAGCAGGGGTGGCCTACGCTTGCACCCCAGCATGCAGCAAGCGCCGAGCCGCACCCAAGAGGACTGCAGGTGAGGAAACAAAAGCCAGGAAAAACAGTCCGAGAAGGGAGCCTGGCGGAGGATGTGGGGTGGCTGGGGGTAGGGCACCGGACAGCTGTCGCGACTCGGCAGTCGTTTCCATGGAGACCCGGGCATCCTGACTAATGCAGAGACGACACTGTAACAGGAACACCGTCTCTAAAACAAGCCTATGTTTGGGGGCAACGGCTCCAGAGTGGGGCCCCTCCCACATTCCTGCTCAGGGTGGGGGTGGGGAGGCTGCCTGCTGGATGGCCCTAGCAGATCTGGGGGCCAGAGCCCAGCCAGTCACCGGCTGGCTACACAGAGGCAGAGAATGAACCCTGGGCAAGCCCTGTGCCCAACACCTGCCCAGGCTGGCCCTTTGGGGAGGAGTGTGGGGGTGCCAGCCTGAGCAGAGGAGCCCTGGGGAAGAGGAAGGAGTCAAAGGCCAGTCACAAGGGCTGGGACGCCAAGGGAATCCTTCCCCCACACATTTCCTCTTCACCAGTGTGCACCTAGCACCCCTCCAGGGCCCAGGAGAGAGGCGGCAAAGCCTACCCTGGTGCCCCTGGGTTCTAGAAGTGTAGGGCAGAGGGCAGGGCAGCAGTAGAGGATGGTCTCAGAAGCCTGAGGGGCCAGAATGGGCCAGGAGCCAGGCCCTAGCCAGCTGGGGAAGTATGAGGGTGCCACCAGGGTGTCCCCATTCAAATTCCCCTCCCCCAGCTGTCCCTACAATCCTCCCTCAGAGACATTCAACCCTTGCACATTCCTGAATGGTACATGGCACCTCTCAGCCTCAGCTCTCCTCTGCGCGATGGGACAAACACACCCCTTCTCCCTCTGCCGACGTCTCCCTCAGGTCATTTTCCGATGGTATTAAATGCCCTTGCTGCTGGCACATCTGGCCCCAAAGCCTAAGCAGGCGGTAACTACAGAGCAGGGGTCCTGAGCATTCGAGTCTGGGGATCCCAGGGCCAGCCCTGCCTCAATGGGCACTGGCTGTGAAGCTTGAGAAAGTCTCCTGCCTACCTCTCTGAGCCTCAGTCTCCTCTGTGAAGTGGGGATAGGGATGGTGCCCATTCCCGGGATGGCTGCCACTGTGCTTACATGGGTTCCGTGCCCAGCACCAGGGCAGGTACCCATCAGTGTGGCAGTTGCGGGGGGGGGAGGGGGTCTCCACCAACAGCCATCACTCCCCCAGGCCTACCCAGGCCTGGCAGCCTGGCCCACCCCTGGCGATGAGAACAGGAGAGGTGGGGTCCCAAGCACTCCCCCAATCCACCCACCAGCCTGTGTTTGTGTCCAGTTGCCATGAGGACTTCGGATCCAGGGCTCAGCCTTCCCAACAAGGCCTGCCTGGGCCCCCTGCCTTCCCAGTCCCTGGGGGCTCCAAGGACTGGACCACCCCACCCCCAGCTGCTGACCTCAGGAAGCCAAGGGGCATGGGAATGGGGATAGGCTGATCAACAGCTGGGCTGGCCAGGCCCCGAGCCTGGGCTGGAGGATTCCTGCTTCAGAGTGCAGAGACCTTAACTCTTCCTAGACCCAGCTTGCTTAATCTTTCTTGGCCTCAATCTGTTCATCTGCAACATGGGTACAGTAGCATTACCTGCCTCATGGGCTGTTTCAAGATTTAAATGAGGTAATGGGTATAAGGGCTCAGGGTCACAGGTGGAAAGAACTGATGGCTCTATCCTGGTGACCCAGTCCTTGATCCATCCCTCTCTCTTCTCCTGCGGCCCCAACCTGCCTGCTTCCAGGCTCCCATGTTCTGTGCCCTCCAGCACATGCTTCGAGCCTTTCCCCTGGGGTCGGGGAAACACAGGGCTTCCTCTGGCTGTGCCCACACTTGAGCAAGTAGGCACGTGCTTAGTACAGGCTTGCCCTCGCCTCTGCTGCCTCCAGCACCCCCTACCCCAGCTGCTCTTCCAGGCCCGCTTCCCTTTGCCCTGTCTTGTCACTGGCTACTCGTTGCACAGCCCACCACCCCTCCCACACCCCTTCTCCCACTCCCTCAGCCCTCTGGGCCACTTCTATACCTGAATGGGCCGCATCCTGGGGGGACATGACTCAAGCTCCCTGTGGGCCCCCTTTGCCTCCTGGGGCGGACGATGCTGCACGATGTATTCATAGGTGGTGAGCTTGTGCCACACTGAGGGGGTGAAGAGAGGGCTCAGTGCAATAGAAAAGGAACCCTGGAGTTCAGAAGGTGAGGGAGGGTACCCAACCACAGGCTAAACATTGTCCCCATATACACTAAGCCATGGAGTGAGACCAGGTCACCATTAGAGAGCCAGCGCTAGGAAGGGGCATAGTTTCAGGGCTCTACAGCCCAAACTGGGTAACTTCCTCCAGCTTAGGGACTCCCATCCCCTGAAAGGCAGGTGTGGGTGTATATGTGGGGGTAGGGGCAAGGGCCACTTACTGAGATAAATGTGGAAGCAGAGCAGGTGGCCGAGCAGGGCTGTGGAGAGCAGGCCCAGAAGGATGAGAAGGGCAGCCAGAGCCAGGATGGCAGGAGCCTGTGTCTCCACAGGGGCAGCAGGCAGGAACACGAACCACACATCTGTGTGATTCTTCAAGACTGCAAGGCACAGGCAGACTGTGCTCAGCCAGGGATGTAACCAGTGACCAGAACATGCCCAGGGTTGGGGGATGGGAGTGGGCCTGGAGCCCACACTGACCTTCAAAGTGGCGGTTGGTACGCAGCTGCATGGGGTTGACAAAGAACTCCACAAAGACATAAGTGGCCACCAGCACGAGGAGCAGGACGCCCAGTAAGGCAGATGCCACACTGTGTAGAAAGAGCCTGGGCCCAGCCGTGGGCAGCTGTCAGCACCCAGGTGCTCCAGCTGGGCAAGGGCCCAGAGCTCAGAAGGGCCGGTGGTTAGGATGGGGAGCTGGGCCTCTGACCCCACAGCCCTGACTCCTCACGAAGCCAAAGCCTTAGGGCAAATGTGAATATAGGCGGCCACCCCCAGCAGGCTCCCCACCTTTCCCTGGGCCAGCAGGAGAAAGACTCCAAACCTACCCTCATCGCTCTCAGGCGGAAGCCATCGGGAGCATCACCCTCAGACCAGCACACACACTAACGCACACCAGCGCACAGGTCCCCCAAGTACCCCTATCACCACCCCGCCCCATACACAGGTTCAAGGCCCCTGGCTCGCACAGACACAGGCATCGCCAGGCACCCCTGTGGCCCGGGCCTGGCTCTCACCGGTAGTTCCTCTCGCCCACGCAGTTGTTGAGCCACTTGCAGTGGTGGTCGAAGCCGCACACGCATTTGTTGCAGGCGCTGCAGTGCTTGGAACGAGCACTCCTGCGGTGGGGAGGGGGCACAGCACGGTTGCGGGCTTCTCCCGCCTTTTGCTGCCCGGCCTGGCTTGGGGGTTGCCGGTTCCCCGCCTGGAGCGGGTCACCCACCCGCGCCTAAGCGGAGAGCGGAGCGCGTCAAAGGGGAGCACGCGCGCCCTCTGGCGGGGGGCACTGTGGGGCGGCGCACCCGGAGGAAGCAGCGCTTCTGAAGAGACGGGGTGGGGGTGGGGGCGGGGACGGGAGGTGTACCCAGCGGCGGGAGGAGGTGTAGGCGGCGTTATACTGTCCCGCTCTGGGACAGTGCACCCGGGTGATGGTGGCGTGAAACGAAAACGGAGTTTCCTTTCCAAGCAAGGACCCCCTCTGCCCGGCCAGGGAGCAGAAGAGAGCAAGGCTGCTGGACCCAGGGCCTGCGTTGCTCTTCCTGACATCGCCATTTTTTGAGTCCCTGTTTCTCTGCCAGACTATGGGAATTTTCCTGGCATTCTTCCAGAAAACCCCAGTCTATCTGGGCTAATCCAAAGGGAGCCAAAGGAAGAGGGGTAAGCAGACATCTGGGTGAGCAGTAAGCAGTTCACCGCAGTGGGTCAGGTGAGGTGAGGCTACATTAGGAATGCAAGAGAGTCTCCCTGCCCCAGGGAGGAACCAGGAAAGGCCAAAGGACAGTGGAAGAATAAATTTCGACCCCCTCCCCCAGAACAGAATGGAGCCCTGGAATACGCAGCAACTGCCAGGGCATCCACTGAGGAACAACGCGCTGACTGGTGTCTAGTGAAAGAAAGGATGGTCTGATGCCAAAGTCCTCAGCATCTTAATGCCATTGGCTCTTTCTCTGTCCTGTGGACAGAACCCCTTCAACAGGCTGCTTGGGGCTTAATATTAAAAGTGTGGAGCTAGCCTTGAACCATACTCCCATCCCTGATCCCCTACCTAAGGCTGGGAGACTGGGATCCTCCAGAGATGGGCTTAGGGAGGCAGTCTGGACCAGCCAAGGGGGTGTGGGCTCTGTACATTCTGACCCCTCAATGTGACCTGGAGAAGTCACTTGGCCTCTCTGGGCCTCAGATTCCTCGTGCATAAACAAGGATAGCAGTATTGGCTTCGGGGCCAGGCAGGCTGGGTTGTGAATCTGGCTGCCCAGTAGCCATATGACCAACCTCAGGCCACTCAGCCTTTCTGAGCATTGGACTCTTCCTCCTCTGTGAAGTGAGAAAGATGTTGCCCACTCTGCAGGGTGGTTGTTCATAAGCACTTAGCACATGGTAAGGAGTCAAGTGTTGCTCCCCTCTCTGCCCATACCTGGGAATGCTGGTGAGAGAAGGGGGGTGGTTACTGGTGGAGTTAGTCATCAGAAGTGTTTGTGGCAGGGCCAATTGTCCTACTTTGTTGGAAATGCTATTCCTCATCTTCTGTTTCCAATCACCTTCTCCCTCACCCAGTTCTCTGTCACTCCACTAAGATTCTTGACTGTGTGAAATAAGAGGGTTCTGAGGCTTCAGAATGACTGTAAAGCCTGGGCATGCCCCTGTCTGCCTTCAGCTCCCACTGGCAGTTCCCCGGGCACACTCATCGGCCACACACACCCAGTCCACACGCACTCACACATCCACGTCGCACAAGTTGCAGTGCAGGTCTTCAATGACGTGTGCATGTTGGCTGCGGTTGAAGATGGGCAGGGGCCCAGCATAGCTCTTGTCCCGCACATTGGCATCTGCTGGGTCGATGGAAACAGCAGTCAGGTGCACCACGAGGTGACCAGCAAAGATGGCGCCCATGCACTGGCCCAACAGGTTAAAGACTCACTCCACACTGCCGGCTGAGAGCCCCACTTCTGCTTCCTGTGGCCAGAGAACTGCTCTCTACCTACATGTGACTCCCCAGTGCAGAGACTCTCTGCCTGTGCCACCTCCTACCTGTGCCACCTCATACCTGCGCCCCATATGGAAGAGCAGAGGGGCTATCTGGTAATGGAGCTCACAAGCCAGCACTGCCTGCTGCTGCTGAGGAGACCAACTACAGGGCCCTGGCCTCACTAATCCAGGCCTGGCGTAGGCCCTGGCTGATCTTACCTCAGAATCTGACCTGGTTTCCGATTTTAAATGGTGAAATGAGACCGAAAGAGATCATCCTCTAAAGGTTGAAGGACCCAAAATATAAGTTCTAAGCTTGTTTATCTCGCTTTCACAGGAAGTCAGCTCTGAGAAGGAAGAAGACATCCTCTTCCAGCAGCCAGGCCAGTTGGAGAATCACTTGCAGACAGGGCCTCATATATCCACTGCCTCCCCAGTCTAGAGTCCAGGTACTTGGAGGCCTGGGGCTGAATGTCTGGGATGGCCTAACATGTTCAGGGGCTGGCTGTGTTTCCTGAAACACAGATCTTCCAGGATCTATCGGCTCAGCAGTTGGACCAAATGCTGGACACAGTATGCTGACAACTTACTGCAAAGTGAATGTGTAAAACTTCACTAATAGATTCCACCCAGGCAGCCATCCACCCTCCATCTAGCTATCTGTCGATCCATCCATCCATCCTCTTGCTAGCCAAGTAGACATCATCTCTCCATCACTTATCCTCCATCCATCAGCTGTCCAACCTCCTTTTTTTCTTCCTCTTCCTAGCAGCCAAATTTTCCTACATGTCTGCAGGAGCCAGGCCCCACCCTAATGTGCTATACCAGAGCTGAAAGAGACAATCCTGTGGCCCAACACAACCTCTCTATCCCTACGGCCCTGGCTGTGGGTCAGGCTGTCACCTCTTGCCTGGGTTATTCCATAGTCTCCTGACTCTGCTTCTCATGTCTGCATCCCCTTGAGTACCCTTTACTTGGGTAGTGAGCTCTGAAAAGCTTAAACCTAAAGCCTTGCCTGCTTAAACTCCTGCAGTGGCTCTCAAGCTAAAGTTTACTCTTCAGCTCAGTGTTCACGGCCCCTTTTCCTCTGGATCCTCTCAAACCTCTCTGGTATCACCAACCACTACTCCTTACCATTCCAGGCTCTCTTCAGACACACTGAATGTGGGCAAACATTTAGTTTCCTGCCTGCTCCAACACTTCTTCCCTCCCCCCGACCCCACTGGTTCATTCATTCAGCTATTTACTGAGGTCTTTCTCTATGCCAGGCACTGAGGATATGGCAGGAGCAAGACAGACTTTGTCCCTAGCCCCAAGGAGCCTACAGTCTGGCAGAAAACACAGAGTAGGTTGATTGCAATAACGAAAGTTCAGGGGACTATGTGAGTTTGTAACTGGGTGACCTCATCTAGTCTGAAGGGGTCTGGAAAGTTTCCCTGAGGAAGTATCATCTCAGCTGAGACTTAGAGAGAAACAGATAACAGGAACATGGCAGGTAATATAAAGAGGAAAGGGGGCCTGGGTGGGTACTGGGAACAAGCAGAGTCCCAACTAGATGTGTGGTTCCAGCTCAGCTTATTGGTGCCATGCAAGAAAGAGAGCCCATGTCACCAAATACTGGCTTTTCAGAAGGAACCAGAAATATGGATTTGTGTCCGGATATATGAGGCGTCTCATTTTTTAAATGTTGACAAGGAAATAAATAATTTTTTAAATGTACCTGCCAAAGAAATACTTAAGATATGTCCATTTTGTGTGTTCGTTATCCCTCAATTAAAAAAAAAAAATCTGTAGGCCAAACTGGCCCATGAGCTGCTAGGTCTTGACTTCTAACTTAGCTGGGTATTGGGGTGGAGAGAGAGGCTAGGAGCTTCCAGGCAGAGACCAGTGTTGTTGCAACAGAGAACAACAGAGGAAATAAAATAAGAAGATGCTGGGGAGATAAGCAGAGTCCAGAATGTGGAGAGCCATGATGATCTTGAACCTTAAGGCAGGAAGAAGCTATTAGAGGGTGTTAAGCTGGGGAGTAACTTTATCATATTTGTTTTTTGAAAGGGCACTCTGGCTGCAGGGATAGAGATGGACTGGCCGGGGTGAGAGCATGTGTGGGGAGACCTGTTTGGAAACAAAATGGTCATCTAGGTAAAAGAGGCAGATGGCAGTGGGGAGAAAAGAGGGCAAATACAATAGATTTTTAGGAGGCAAAATCAACAGGACTTGATGACTGACTGGATATAGGTGATAAGGAAAGGGGCGGAGAGCCAAAAGTACCTAGAGAGGCCAGGAAGAGGGAAGGAGGGGAGCTGAGAGCAACAGGTGGGTGCATCTGGGTGGTGATGTTGGTCTACGTGGCCCTCCTCCTGCACCCACAGTCTGCTGTATGAATCCCTACCCCCATACTTACCATGTGATGATCTCCAATCTACAAGGCTTTCCTCCTGTTGGAAGCGGAACACCTAGAGCTGGGGCCCTGTTTTACCCATCTTTGCAACCCTAGGGCCCAGGCAAGTTCTAGGTGCAAGGTGAGTGCTTGGTATACACCCTTACCCTACCTCATTCTGCAGGGACCCCTGAGGGAGCCTGCAGAAGGAAGGTAGCTTTGATGGGACGACAGAGAACCATTCAGGCCTGGAAATGGGAGTGCCAAACCAGGTGGTTCTAAGAGCCTCCAGCATTGCCCAAAGCAATAAATATGGGGAGGACAAAACCCTCAAACCATCCCACTGCCTCAGAGTCAGACTGCCTGAGCAGTCCTTCTGGCCTCACTGGGTAGCAATTGTGTGACCTGAGGAAGTCATTTAATCTCTCTGAGGGCTTCCCTGGTGGCACAGTGGTTAAGAATTCGCCTGCCAAGGCAGGGGACACGGGTTCGAGCCCTGGGCCGGGAAGATCCCACATGCCGCAGAGCAACTAAGCCCGTGCGCCACAACTACTGAGCCTGCGCTCTAGAGCCTGCAAGCCACAACTACTGAGCCCACGCGCCACAACTACTGAAGCCTGAGCGCCTAGAGCCCATGCTCCACAACAAGAGAAGCCACCGCATGAGAAGCCCTCGCACCGCAATGAAGAGTAGCCCCCGCTCGCCACAACCAGAGGAAAGCCCACGTGCAGCAACAAAGACCCAACACAGCCAAAAATAAAATAAATAAAAATTTTTAAAAAAAACTTTATAATCTCTCTGAGCCCCAATTTCTTTTATGAAAGTGGGGAGAACACCTTCCTTACAGATTATTATGAGAGTTGAACAAGATCATCCATGTATAGGGGTTGGCACAGTGCCTGGCACATATAAGTGCTCAATAAATGCTAGTTATTCTTGGTTACTGTTATTTGCTCTGATTCTGCTCACTCCAAAACATGTGGTTATTAATCTGGCTTCCCAGGTACACTGATGGCAGAAAGCCAGGTAGTCCTGAGTGAGTGGTGTACCCATTCTGGATCATGGGAGGAATGTTCCATGAAGCATTCTACTTAAGAGCATTCTACTTAAGATTCTACTGACTAAGCCCTGCTGGTCACCTCAGAGAAAGTCTAGTTTTCATGTACAAAGTTGATGACTAGGCCCTGGGCCCCAGTGAACCAGGAAGCCCCTCAGTGACACTGCTGGCGTCGGAGACCAACAACCTTCTCTCGAGTCTTTCTCCACCCACCTGCCCTGGCTACCCACCAGCCAGGGGCTCTATGGTTTCCCAAGCGAGCATGCTCACATTCATGGCTCATATGTTCTGGTGCTCACACACACACATCCTTGTGTGCTCCTTGTCCCCTGCCTGGGAAGCAAGCAGGACTCCTCCTGTCAGATAGAGGAGGAGGCTAAGATGCGGAGAGCTGGCAGAAGCTGCTCAGCCTTGTGCAGCTCTGAAAGGGCTGAGGTGAAGGGTGCTGACTCTACGCCTGAGACTTTCAAATTCATCCCTGCTAACTCCTTTAGCTCACCCCAGGCCACCTTCTCGCAGAGGCCCAAAGAATCATCTCCATGAAGCACACACACCAAGGCACACTCTCATGGGCACCCTCTGGCCTGGGGCACATGGCCACATGCTGCCCCTCTACCGCCCAGACTTGCAGCCACATCCTCTGCTCCTGGGGGTCGTGGCCAGGGCTGGGGCAGTCACATCACTAAGTTCAGGCAAGTTCATATTTGTCACAATTCCCAGGAGCTTCCAGGGCATATCTGTCCCTCCTCTTGTCAATTCAACCTTACCCTAAAAGAGTCTGATTTATAAAATCGATGAGCTCCTAAACAGTCCTGGGTACAGCATAATAATCTCTGTAAATAAAACCATATTTTAAATGTACCAGGAAACTTACCATGTAAAGGAATTCTACCATTATTCTTTCCAAAAAGTGAAAAATTATTTCATAAATGGAATAAGTTACTCTCTTTTATCCCTTGTTGAGCTCTGGACACAATTAGCTTAAAGAGAGCTTTAAGGTTCTCTTCTGTAATTGCTCTCGTGGTACCTCAGTTGATGAGGTTCCCATCTGTGTGGGGCTTTCAACGCTCCAAGGTTCGTCAGGCCTGTTCCCTCACCCAATCAGGCAGAGGGGTCAGATGGGGGTTGGAGGCCAGGCAGGTAGGCAACTGGTCCCCCCAGGCAGAGACAGGGCCCATTTGCACTCTCTGAGGCTCTGGAACCCAGCTTCAGGCCTCGCCCATGTCCCTCCATCCATTGTCCCCACTCCTCTATGTACCAGTCCCACACTTTCCCAAGGATACAGCATAGCCAGCAGGCACCCAGTGGTGAGGCAGGAGGGGAACAAGGACCCCAAAGCCAATCACAGCAAAGAAGAGGTACAGCAGCCAGGCCACAATCTGGAGCGGGTGAGGGGGCCAGCTCCACCCATTCCGGCGGGACCGCTGGCCCTGCAGCTCCGGGGAGGGTCCGCTGGCCTGTGCAGGTGCTGTCCACACATTCTTCTCAGGGGCTGTCTTGTTAGAGGGCTTGTTGCAGATGTTCATCTCCAGAGGGAGAAAGGGTAGAAAGATCATTAGCCTGAGGAGGCCCAGGCTGGAGCCCAGAGCCCCGTGCCTGCAGTCAGGTTTCAGCAGGAGGGGCAGGCTAGTATGTGAAGCCATCTCCAGCTACTCTGCAGGGGAATCCGGGGCCCTAGCATGAGGAGCCTGGCAGTGAGGGAGGATGGCAGTAGAGTGCTAGTCTCAAAGCCCCAGAGCAAGTTCTGGCCCCAGTCCTAGCCAGGACAAGGTAGGAAGTTCCAGGGTTTATTCAGCTCACAGTGTGACTGCCTGTTATTCTGCTCTGTCTCCACAGCCATCAGAGTTAAACCCAATAAGACATGTTCTCATCTGGTAACAATATCAGGCTGAGGCCAGAGTGATGAGAACACATGCTGATTCTGTCAGGATTAGTCACCTCTGTCCTGAGGCCCAAATGCAAGTGTCAGAGAGGGCCCCGTTACACTTTGCTTAGGGAAACAGGGAGTGGAGGTGTTCAAAAGAGGGACCTGGCCTCTGCCCCTCAGCAAGCATGTAATCCCTTTAAGGACTAGGGGACCCTGAACCATGTCCCCTGTGCCTCAGATAAGCTACCTGGGGCTTCTTGGCTGGAGAGAAGCCAGCACACAAGAGAGGGGAGGAATCCTCATTGGTTCCCTCCAGCAGTGGAAATGACCGTGTTTCTCTAAGTAAATGTGGGTCTGGTACAGTGAGAACAAAAAAGTGAACTGATGCCTTTGACTCACTTGAGGGAGTTCAGGGAAAGACAGGCCTTGGTCAGAGCCAAACCACCAGATGGCAGCACTCTTTACCCCCATCCCACCATCGCTCAGCCCAAGAGCTGACTCAGTGCTCAAAGATACATGCAGGGCAGACGGGTAGGCCTGTCATTACAGGAGAAAGAGCCCAACCCCAGTATCTTCTGGGCCTGAGGTGGGACCAGAGCCTGGGCAGGCAGTGCCCCACCTGGGTAGACAGGCCAATTCGGAGCTCTTGGTGGGAAGGTCAAGAGCTGCAGAAAAAACCCTGGCAGCTGGACTCTCCTTTCAGGAGTCCATGCCTGTTGGCCAGGGAGTCTGACTAAGCCAAAGGGTATGGCAGACCCTGCTCAGCACATCTGCCTTGAACACCTTCCTCACTTCTAAACCCAACAAAATGTGACCTGACCTTCAGAGCCCACTGCAAGCATCACCTCATCCAGGAAGCTTTCCCTGATGTCCCAAGTTAGTCAGGGGGCCCTCACGCTCAGTCTTTATTGGGCAAGTCACTTTGCTGTTTGGAACACTTTGCCATCTCCATGTCTGCCCCCCTGTTATGCCAGCTCCCCCTAAGGGCAGCAAAGGTACTGTGATTCATTCATCTCTGTTCCCCACAACCCCTTCCCCAAGCACCCAGAACATACCTTGTACACAGTTGGTGCTCAGTAAATGTTTTCTGACTTGAAAACATCTGAAATAAAAGGAAATGCGGGCACGGTAAATGATGAGGAATCCTGACTCACCCAAAGCCATCTGGGCCATTCTGCCCTGTCTTCAATCTGCACAGTCGCCAGGCACCCGTACCACCCCCCCCGCCCCACGCCAGCCCCAAGGCTGTTACCCTAGCTACCAGACACTCACACTCAGCGACTCTGCCCTTCATCCCACCTGAGGCCCAGAGCCTCCTGTAAACCAAACTTGGAGAGTCTGAGTAGCCTCATCACAAAGCTAAATGGAGTGACCCTAGTTTTCTCCCAGGGACTCCACTGGAATTCTTTGGTCACTTGCTTTGTCTTCAGTAAAAAGCAATGAAAGGTGAAAAAAGAGCCCCAGCTTTGGAGGAAACAGATCTAGGTTCAAGTCCTGGTTCTTCACTTACTAGCTGAGTGGCTTGAGTTTCTTCATCTGAAAAACAGGGGTAGGGATGCCTACCTAGGGCTGTATATAGATCAGCAAAACTGTAGGTAAAGCGTTGACACATAAATGTTCCCTAAATGGTAGACGTTATGATTACCCTTAAAATAGCCCTCTGGGGTGTCCTCATCTCTCCAGACTGAGGAGGCTACTGCATCTGATATTCTGTGAGGTTTTATGAGGTTATGCCCAAAGTGATGGGGTTGGTTCAAGTCGCTTTCTTAAGTTAGTAGTCCCAAGGAACACATTGTCATAAGAGCTGGGCCACTGGATTGCCATTCTAAACTTCTCAGCTTTGACCAAAGATGACAAAGATGATCAAAAAGCTGGCCTCACTTTATTTGGAATGTCCCCAGAGGTGGCAAATCTTTGTCCTTGATTTTTGGAAACAAAGATCATCTGGTCAAGCCCAGTGTATACAGTTGAGCTGGGCAGTTCTGCTCAGGAGGACAAATCCCTGTGGCTTCCACATAGGTTCTCCAGCCATGTCACCAGGGCAACTTCTTTGAAGGGAACCCATTAATTGGGATTCCTAAGTCCTGACTTTCTCTTTGCCATCCTCACACCTGAATAACCCAACACCTTGAGGTAGTTTATAAAGAAAGAAGCAGAGGTACATGGCTGGCTGACAGGTCCTCACTGCCAGAGTGGGCTGGCTGTGGCCACAGGCACCCCCAGTGCTGCTGCATCCCTGACACCTGAGGCAGGAGGAGTCACCACCTGAGGCCAGGGGCCTACCACAAACAGCCTTAGGGGTTGCTCTGATACCGAACCCCAGTACCCTTGGCCCAGAGAGGTACCACTTGTATGAGACCATGGATGAGGGGATGGTGCTGTTGGGTGTAAGTCCCTTGCAGGGGTGGCAGCCTGGTACCATGCCACCTGCAACAAAAGCCTGAAACAACCAACTCTTAACTGATGATATTTTCCCTTGTGGAGTTGGTGGCCACAAATTCTTTTGGCCCCCAAAATTTTGATTAAAAGGGCTTGGAGGTAGGAGAGAATCCAAGATGAGGCTTCAAGCATGGATGGGACCAGGCACTGTCACCAGACCCAGGGACTTCTCTGGCTGTCCTACCCCTCTCAGCACTTCCCTAGGAGACCAGATTAAAAGATGCGCGGTTCTGCTACCAGACAACATGGCCAGCTTGTGCACTCATGCCTTGGCCCAGTCAGTGCTTATTGCGGTCCAGCCCCCTTGTGCATTAAAGATGAGACCATGTTCCTGCCCTCAGGGGCTTGCTTTCTGGGGGCCCAGACAGATTTCAGGGAAGTGGGTGAATGGGTATTCTGGCAGCCCTGCAAGGGCCAGCCATTCAGTATGACAGAACACAGAGTGGGTGGGTTTGGGGTCAGAGAGCAAGATCCACAGAGAGAGAGAGAGAGAGAGAGAGAGAGAGAGAGAGAGAGAGAGAGATGAGCCCTGGGAAGTTGCAGGGTCAGATCCTAGGTTGAAACCAAGTGCCCCTAAAACCAAGTTCCCTAACCAAGATTATGATTAATCTCTCTATCCAAAACTTTATTCCCGTTCAAGTCACCTCTGACCTCAATCCTGTGCTAACTGAACACTAAACAACCAGAGTCACATGACTAAAACTGCTGTTGTCGATGACATTGTTAATGTACTAAAATTGCTACTATAGATGTCATCATTAATGTACAAACTCAGGTTGTTTCTCCAGGGCAAGATGAGCTAACAGATCCCTGAGCCATGGACCACCTGGCCAAAGAATCATAAACCAGAGGCATTCTGACTCCTGAAACTACAATTAAGAAATGTCACAAAAATGTCACAGGACGATGATTAATCCCAGCCTCTTTGTTCTCCTCCCTCCCCCCACCAAAAAAAAAAAGAAAATTCTAACTCAAAGACCAAGCTGGAGTGGACCTGAGGCATGTCTCCCACTCCCTTTGCTTGGCATCCTGCAGTAAACACTGTACTTGCCTTCACCACAGCCTGGTGTCAGCAGATTGGCTTTGCTACGTGTTGGGCAAGCAGATCCGACTTTGGTTCAGTAACAAGGTGATCACAGGAGGCCAGGTGAGTAAGTTTAGGCACTGTTGAAAGAGCCACAGGGAATCACAGAAAGTTTAAACAGGGGAGTTGACATAAAGGTGATGGGTATTTTTAGAAAGCTTTCTATTCACACTGGGAAGGAGGGCATGAGCAAGAAGCGAAAAGGCATGGGGGGTGGTGACACCACAGCAGGCTGGCCTAGGGAGGGCAGCAGCCCAGCAGCCCTGTGTACTGGGAGGAGTTGGGTGAGAAGTGGGGGTCAAGCCCACAAGCTCCCTGATGCCCTGCTGCATCTTTGGTGGGCTGAGAGGTATGTGGACCTTGACAAAAGATTCTCAAGTACCTTCTGCTGCCACGAACAAACAACAGAGTTAAGCTGGTGGAGACAGAAAGAAGACAAGAGCAAAGAGGCCCCGTGGAGTGTTAGGCCAAAGGTAGCCACTGCCCTGGTAAGCCAAGGGCCCACCTGGCTTCTGAGGCAGGCTGGAGGGCCTGTGCAGGTCCCTCCCTGTCCCAACAAGGGGAAGGCCATTGCTAGGATGACAATAATCTATGTTAACATTGACTTGCTAAAAGTCTAAAATAGCATTTTCCAAATAAGGTCAGGCTACCTTAATTTATATGCCTAATTTAAGTGAGGAAAATCTTACCATTTCAGATTCTCATTATGAACTACAGAATAGTTACCTGACTGGTCCACTTCCCACTTGCCCACCTCTACTCTCACCAAAAAAAAATATTTAGGAATGTTGTTCTGAGATTCATGAACAGCATTGTAAAAGAAGCAGACTGAGGTGAAAAGTACCAGCCCTGGAGAGGCTGTAGGCATCCCTGCATTTCTGCAAGATGTCTGAGAATTTCAGGAAAGAATCTACTTAGTTACCAGAGGGTTTGTTGGTAGAGGCCACAGAACTGGGAAGGTACAGTGATGGGGTCAGAAGAGAGGTGACAGGGCTGATGTGGGGGCTTGGAGGGCCTGAGGATCTGAGTTACCAACAGGGAGAAACAGGTTGGAACCAGGGAAGAGGGCTAGGCCTGGAGACATAGCCTGGTTCTGGTCCCTGCATTGCCACTCACAGATGGAGGAACCTGGTGGGCAAATTTCACAAAGCCATCTCTTTGGATCTCTCCTTTATTTATTTTTCAAAAAGGTTAGCTGGAAAGCAATTTGGTAATGTCTACCAAACTTGAGAACACACATACCCTTGAGCCAAGACATTCCATTTCTAGGTATTTATCTTATACATATGCTCATAAAGTGCACAAAGATTCATTGCAGTCTTGTTTGTAATAATAAAGGACAAAAAACAATATAAACAAATATATGGCACATGCACACAATGGAATGCTATATAACATCAAAAATAATGAGGGATGAAATGACTTTTGATACACAGTTAAGCAGAAAAGCAAGATGTGGGACAGTTGTAGAGTGTGCTGCGAGTGAGTGAAAACCAAGGTGGATGGATAGACACCTGCGTTCCTATATGCACAGATTCTCTCTGGAAAGAAATGCAAGAAAGCAAACATAGAGATAGCCTGTGAGAAGGTGATCCAGTGGCTGGGGATGAGAGAGATTTGCTTCTACTATGTACTCCTTGGTGCTGTTTGGATTTTTTTTTTTTTTTTTACCATGTGCAGGTACTACTTTTGAAAAAAAAAATTCATCAAATAAATAACTGAAGGGTGTCATCTCTTACCCTCCTGGCCCCAGTGGGCTGCCATGTGGACCAAATGTGCTCGTGTGATCTAGAGCCCAGTACTGCGCCAGGCAAACAAGGAAATCTTGCCTAACAACCATGCTACAAAAGAGCACTCAGTTTTAGTTCAATGCTTTCTCACTCTCGGAAGAAGTCCTGAGTTGTTCAGCTGAAGAGCTCCCTGTGAGCTGTTAGGGCTTTTGTTAAAGCTGGAATCAGACAACCAGGCAGCACAACAGAGGAGCAGCTGGGCAGGACCTTGTTCCAGTTCTCAGCTGAAGGTCAGCTCAGCTCCCCGTGACTCCAGAACCCAAAGGGAAGGTGCATGCCACAGGAAGGTTTCATTCCCAACCATCTTTTCTTTTAGCTAGAGGATTTATGGTTGTTGTGTGTGTGATTTTCTATGGATACTTCAAAACAAGTTTTCTGGTTTTTTCCCAGGATCTACTTTTAAACCCATTTTCACTGAGATTTAACAGATGCCCAATTTAACCATCTAAGGGAGGGGCTGGAAAGAAAATGCTGCATGGTGCACACTGTTTTACAGCACAAAATGTCATTTATAAAAGAACTTTCAAGGGGCAAGTACTTTGTTTATTAGAATTACCCACAGGTGCCAAAGAAGTCTCTGGACTTAAGATTCTGGGAAGTGGCTAGTTTGACTAAGAGATACACATCACAACAACTCCCAGAAAATGAATTGGAACCTCAAGCCTTTCTCATAGACCTCTCTAGTCATTGGTCTCATATGTGGCTGGGCTCCTCACATCAACAACACGCAGAAGTCTGATGCTAGGGCAGGAAAAGCTTGAAACCTCAGTCATTCCTGAGCTGACGTGGTCTGCAGACATTTCCTGTGCCATTCTCTTCCTGAAGCAACCACTGCAAACTATTTGGGATTCAAGTTAAGCCAAGGAAAGAGGACAAGAAGAAGGGAGCAACTTGGAGCTGAAACAAGGCCAGTGAGCAGAGGCAAGCATTTTTGATTTTAACCAGGAAATCAACTCCCATGATGGTAGAAGCAAGCCTTGAGGAACACCCACCAAGAAACCGTCATTAAGAACAAAGTTGTGACAGAACAGATAAGTAAGAAAAACAAAAGAAAAAAACCTGGCTAATTAAGTACCAATGTTGCTTTTATTGAATCTCATGGTGATTATCTGTTTACAAACCCACCTCCCACTGTGAACCACCAGTTCCACAAAAACAGGGACCACCCCTCACCCATCTCTTAATCCAGTTCTCCTTCACGAAAGGAAGTTAAGCCACTTCTTACCATTTCTGCTGCCATCACCCTAATCCAAGCCCCAGTCATTGCTCCCCTACGGTATTTCAACAATAACAATAACCATCACTAGCATTTAGAGGGCATTTATTCTGTGCTAGGCACTGCTTTAAGTGTTTTGATGGAGTTCACTTATTAAACCCTCACAACTCTCTGAGGTAGGTCCTATCATTTCAAATTGTTCTCATAGGCCTCTCTAGTCATTGGTCTCAGATGCCGATGGCCCCTCACTTTTTCCCTCATAAACAACATGCAGAACAATATGCCCCTTTCACAGATGAGGACACTGAGTCTCAGAGAGACTAAGTAAATTCTAGGAGGCACAGCTAGACTGGCAGAACTAGGATTGCCCTCAACTGACTTCCTGGTGTGCCCTGTCACAATCACACTGCTCACCTCACCAGAGTGAGATGAGCTTTTCAAAACTTGAAATTCATCAAAACTCCTCAATGGTTTCCTTCTCCTGCTAGGATAAAGTTGAAACTGCCACCGCATCCTTCAAGGCTCCCCTCATGCTTGCTGTTCCTCTGGACCTGCTCCCTCCAGATCTTTGCATTTGCTTTTGCCTCTTCCAGAAACACCGTTACCCTGATCACAATGCTGGCTCCTTTTCAACCTTCAGCTCTTGGCTTAAATGTCACATGATAGAGCGGACCCTCCCTCACCACCTCCCTTCATTTCAGCACCAGAGCATTTAACCCGACCTGAAATCACTTTAGTCGTGTATCTGGCGCCTGCTCCCCGCACCCCCCGCCCCGCCCCTTCTTAACACTGCGGGTTCTGGAGAACCGCGGCGTCCTCTCTGGAGCCCTCCGTGGCCCCGCGCCTGGCAAAAAGCCTGGCACACAGCAGACGGTCAATGCAAATCTGTGAACCGGATGAATGCTAGAAGGAAGCCGGGCGCTCTGCCCGGTACCTGGAGCCCAGGCCGCGGGATCTAGGCGCAGAGCTCGGCCGGGCGGCGGCAGCTCTGGCCCCGTGGCTCAGGCCAGGCTTCGAGATGAGAACTGCAGCGGGGGCTCCTCACCTGCGCGTCGTCCACCGAGCCAGGTCGGCCTTGCCAAGGTCACTCAGCGGCTCAGCCCCCACGCCTGGCCGTCCACCCACCCCAGGGCGGCGGCGCTTCAGACTCTCGCAGCGGAGACGGTCCCCGAGACCCGGAGGCGGTGCGCCCCGGATCGGGGCCCCATCCCGGGCCGCGCGGGGGAGGTTAGGCCCGCAAGACCTCCGGCTCCGGCTCGAGCGGGCTGGCTGTACCGCGGGGCGAGGCTGAGTCGGGCTGGGCCTAGTCCGGCGCGGGCCCGTTCCCCTGGCAACGGCGCGGGCTACGGCGCCCCACAGCGGCCAAACCGCGCTGCGTCACGTCGCCCCGGCACCCTGGCTCCGGGCGGGGCTCACCAGGGACCCCCTGGCGTCCTAGCCCAACCATTCTCCGTTCCTTTCCAACATTTCTTCTCAAAAACCCACTTTCCCCACCCCCAATCCACAGCTTGTCTTCTCGAAATCCTAACTTGTCCCAGAGGTGTTCCCCTCCAGTTTCCCCCCTGAGCCCACCACTCTCAGGGAGACCCTCAGTCAGCCTGCACACTTTTTAATGAGTATGTGCTGGGCACTGGACATACCATGGGGAACACCCACGAGATCCCTGTCCTTCAGGGAGATTACAGGCTAAGGGGAAGACAGATCTAGAGACAAATAAATACAGTATACATATTGTGGCCCATAATATAAAGTGTGAAGTATAAGAGCTCAAAATATCTCCTTTCTGGGACTTCCCTGGCAGTCCAGTGGTTAGGACTCTGTGCTCTCACTGTCAATGGCCTGGATTCAATTTCTAGTCGGGTTCAATCCCTGGTCCTGTTCAATCTCTGGTCGGGGAACTAAGGTCCCACAAGACCCACGGTGCAGCCAAATAATAGTAGGTGTAGTAATAATAACATCTTCTTTCTTTATTTCCTTTATTTATTTATAAATTTATTTATTTATTTTTTGGCTGTGTTGGGTCTTCGTTGCTGTGCGCGAGCTTTCTCTAGTTGCAGTGAGCGGGGACTACTCTTCGTTGGGGTGTGCGAGCTTCTCATTGTCGTGGCTTCTCTTGTTGCGGAGCATGGGCTCTAGCCACGTGGGCTTCAGTAGTTGTGGCACGTGGGCTCAGTAGTTGTGGCTTGCGGGCTCTAGAGCACAGGCTCAGTAGTTGTGGCACACGGGCTTAGTTGCTCCACAGCATGTGGGATCTTCGCAGACCAGGGATCGAACCCGTGTACTCTGCCTTGGCAGGCAGATTCTTAACCACTGTGCCACCAAGGAAGCCCTCTTTATTTCCTTTAAATCAAGCATAAATCCTACTGGGAGCTCCCATATTCCAGGCTTATGGGAAATTCAGTCTTGGTCTCTACTAGGCTTCTCTTTACCCAGGTTATTCCGAGGACTCAGGATCTCCTGCAGGAGCAAACACTGTGAGAAGCACTGTCTGGTCATGGGTCCTCTCTGGTACTAAGGCCACAGCCATTGTCCCACCCACCTACAGGACTTTTAGATTTGGGCCTTGTGGGGCCATGCCTGCTGCACCGGGGCTGCCAGGGGACAGGCACTTGCTTCCTCTGTCCCAGGGCCTGCAGACTCTCTTCCCTTTCCCCGCCTGAGGGACCTCCCTGCTGAACTTGGTTTCCCTGAATGCTCCCTCTCCCCTCCACTTGGGGACAGTCAGAATGTGAGTGTCCTATGAGCTCAGTCTTTCTCAAAAGACAGGAAGAGACTTTGTCTTCCACCAGCTGTCCTATCCATATCTCCAAGGCCCTAAAAAGGTGAGCAGCTGGCTGGCTACCTGCTCAGAATGGGCTGGACAGAAAACATCCCTGTCCCTAAAATTATCAGCCACAAACATATAACAAAAGCAACATAGCAACTCCTGCTCTGTCATATGCCAATTGTGGGTCCTGTGCAAGTGTCTTTATCTCTCTGTCATGCAGATTCTTGTTTCCAGGACTGATAAACTCAAACTTGATATGGAATAAATATCAGTGCTACTCTGGCCTCAGAAATACAAGATGACTCCTCAACTCTTATCTGGAATTGTAGAACGTAGGGTCAAAAAGAGATGGTGACCCAGAAATCAAGGTGGAGGGTGAGCCCTTCTATGCCCACAGGGAAGGGAGGGACTGGAGAGTCAAGCCTTGTGGACCCTGGGTCCATCTGCCTCCCAGGCACTTCTAGGTGTCCCGTGGGTATCTAAATGAAACATATCCCTATCTGCCCTCTTCATCTTTGCCACAAACCTGCTCCCCCGTTCAGGCCCTCTGAAGGGCACCATTACCTACCCAGCCTCCCCCTAGTCCTTGCCCAGCTAACCCATACGGTCCCCAAGACCAGGCAGTCCTCCCTCTGAAATACGTCCTGTGTTCATTCTTCCCACCCCACTGTAGCCCAGACCACCAGCACCTTTCTTGCTGACTCTGCAGCAGCCTTCTGTCTGTCTCCCTAACATCAGCCTGCCTGCTTCCAGTCCATTCTCCTTCTAGCTGCCAGGCTTATCATTCTTTCTCTTTATTTGTTAAAGTGGGTGGTAGTCTGAATAACGGCTTCCCAAAGATGTCCATATCCTAATTTCTGGAACCTATGAATATGTTACCTCACATGGCAAAGTGTACTTTGCAGATATGATAAGGATCTTGAGATGGGAGAGATTATCCTAGATTATCCAGGTGAGCTCAGTATAATCACAAGGGCCCTTATAAGAGAGAGTCATGTGAGGGTCAGAGTGGGAGGAGATGTGATGATGAAAGCAGAGGTCAGAGAGATTTGAAAACAGTATACTTCTGGCTTTGAAGATAGAGGAAGAAGCCATGAGCCAACGAATACAGGTGTCCTCTGGAATCTGGAAAAGGCAAGGGAACAGATCCTCCCCTAGAGCCTCCAGAAGGAACCAGTCAGCTGATCCCTTGACATTAGCCCAGTGAGACCCATTTCAAACTTCTGACCTCCAGAACTGTAAGATAATAAATTCATGTTGTTTTAAGCCACTGAATTTGTTGTATCAGCAATAGGAAACTAATACAGTGGGTTTCAAATAGGGTTAAGTATATACATGCATTTATCCAATTAAAGCTATTTCATTTGAAACAAAACTGTCTGCCCAGATTCCCTGGATGTCTATCTGAGTGACTTCAGGCCAAGCTCTCTGAAAAGAAGACTCCCTCTGGCCAAATTTTTCTTAAAGGCACAGGCAATTTGATGGTGTTCTGAGTCTGTCAGCCTGGTGTGGTAACCAATCCAGAACCTGACACGGCCCAGGGCATCACCTACTGAGGAAGGCCACACATTGCTAACACCACCTCATCAGTCTTCCGTTTAAGATACTTCCACGGCTTCCTTTTGCCTTTAGGATCAATTGAAATGCCAAAGTGTGGCTTGAAAGCCCAGCTCAGCGAGCTCCTGTCCACCTCCTCATCCCTGTCCCCTGATTGGTGCCATTCCTGGAACCCAAGTCTTTCGCTCCCACCCCAGGCTCTTTCCCACAGGGTTCCCTTTACTTTGAGTGTAGTTTCAGCTCCTACTGCCCCCTCTGGCCAGTTTCTATGAAAACATGAGACACATTTTTCTGGGACAGAAGTCATCTCTTAGGGCAGGACTTGTTCCTGCCCAGAGCAGCTGCCCCTGACCAGCAAGGCAGGTCTGCCCAGGGTGAACAGCCCAGGCTGTAGGGACAAAAAAACCCAACTGTGGTTTAAAGAACTTGTGCACATGTGTGTGACAAGGTTCCAAGCTAGCTTACCTGACTCCTAGAATTGCCAGAAGAGACTCCCAGGCAGCTCCTCCCACCCTGGGCTGGATCCAGCTGCCCATTCTTAATTAGAGCCAATGTATGCCCAGGCTTCCTGGGACTTGTCACATGTCCCAGGGCATGTCGGTGGTTACCTGTTTCAATCCCAGCTCTGCCAGTCGCCAGCTGGGCAAATTCCTTAACCTCTCTAAATCTCAGTTTGCTCCTATGTGAGACTGGGATAACAATAGCTACTGCATAGAGCCACGATGAGGCCTAAAAATGTGGTCCTGCGTATGAAGCACAGAATGTCCCATTGGTAGTGGACATTGATACGTATAATCTAGAGCCTACTTGTCTTTCAATCAGGAGATGATCCTCTCCATTTCATTAACAAATGGAGTTAAATTTTAATTATCAAATTCACCTGGTGGGATATGGTTAGCCACAGCTCTTGCTCTCCGGGTCCATTTTGTCTGGGTCCCAGTACACTTTCCAGTGGGCCTTGGATGAGTCAGCCCATCCAACTGGCTTGTCCCCATGGCCACCAGCATCTCTTGCCCTGGCAAACATAGCGCCCTCATGACTGGTCTTTCGCTTCCACTGCGGGCTCCCCATCCCCATCAGTCTGTTCTCCTCACAGCTTGTGGCTGTCTTTAAAAAAAACAAAGAAGGAAAGAAAAGAAGGCAAACTGATTATTTTACTTCTTGCTACAACTCTCAGTGACTCTCCCTGCTCCCCGGGGAGCAGTATTTCGATATACCATGAAATTAGAATCAAAACCTCCTTTGCCCCCTGGCTCCAGCTGACCTCTGCAGCCTCCTGACCTCCCTTTCCCTGAAGGACCAGACTCCCTCTTATACTAGGGGCCTTTGCATGTGATGCGTTTGATACGTGGAACATCACTTCCTCCAGGAGAACTTTCTCTGACCCTCAGAATAGAAGAGGTCACAAGACTCTGCTGTATAGTTCCTTCTGTCAGTAGTGGCTCCTTGACTGCATAGTGATCTGATTAGGGGCTGTCCTCCAGCCAGACGCAGAGACCACAAGGGGAGGAATATTTATCTAACTCACCATGGCTTCCCTAAGCATGGAGCCTGGAACACAGTAAGCACTCCATAGATGTTCGTTGAATGAACGAAGGAGGGAACAAACAAATGAAAGGATAGAGCTACTTATAGGAATTCTTTTGTGAAGCCTTTTGTAAGGTAAATAATACTTGTTGAATTATTTTTGGTGTAAAAATTGACTTTCCTATATTATCGTCCCTTCATCATAGTAAATCTATTATTTCCATGTCCCTTGTAAAGATTTTTTTTATTTGCTACATTCAAGATGTTTTCCTCCCATTAATTTTTCCTTGTTAAGTAGTTTTTGTGACCATTTTATGCTTTAAGAAAGAAGTGCCATTTGGTATTTACAATATTCTCTCAGCTTCCTTGGTGAGAAGACTCTGGCAGCTTTCTCACTGTTGACTCTGACCAGTGCAGCTTGGAACACGATGTCATCCCTCCAAGAACTCT